GCATTCCATCACGGTAAGAGAAATGCACTCAGCATTCATTTCGACTTCCTAATGTGCACTTTACTTCACTGGTTCAGTGTGCGCGCCGCGGTGGCAGTCGCGAGTTGAAGAGGTATGTATGCCCGGCGGTACAGCATACCACTTCAGGCGGTAACAGCTCCTGCCATCTATCGACAGGATTGGTAAACGGCACTGGCGGCACCCGGGTCCGCCATGCAGTGGCGGGTGCACCCACCTCGCAAGTGATTAACCGGCAGCTACAGCGAAGTACTAGAATGTGATCTATTTGAGCACCAGAAACTTGTGTTCGATTGGCACTGTTAACACCGTCGATCAGAAAAGTAGTTTCACATCAACATTGAAAGGTTGCTTTCAAATAATGTGCCAATTAAACTTTGGAATTGAAATTGAATTTCGACACTGACATTTGTCGCATCGATGCCGTCACGCACTTCGAACGAGCCATCTGGACATTTTTACTCCCATCAATAATGGATTTTCCACAGACAGCCAAATTACATTACCTATTCGCGAACGGCGAAACGGCACCACCAAATCTCTACATCATTCATCGACCGAGTCCGCGGTAATGAGCAATGCCGCTGGGAGCGTCCGCAGGTACCTGCAGCACTCTGCAGCCGCCGGGATCAGCGCGGCACCCCCTCTCTGCGGCGCCATTAGCGTCTGATTGGGCCGGCCGGCCGCCGCCACACGCCGTCGCTGGGAGCACCTGCGCTGATGACGTGTGCGGCGCCGCGCCACGGCCGCCGGAGTCGTTACAGGGTGCTTTACCGGCCATAGGTGGGTATTTGGGACCCGTTCGTGACAGCCAGCCACGGCACATAAATCTCACGCGAGAGATTTATACACTCGTTGGGTGGAGGCGGCTAAAATGGGAAGATTGAATTAAGTTGCGCAGATTGCCGACTCTAATCCAGATGGCGAACGACTGACCGCGATAAAGAACTAACTCGGGGCCATATTGCATTCGTGATGTGTCGAGGTTCAAACAATTCCTACGGCGAAAACTTCGTTACAAGTTGTCACTTAAAAATGCCACGGCAGAGTTCAAGTCTTTGGTCCCAATAACAACAGTAAAACACGAGTTTAACTTGCCCGGAAGCCAGGTATCAACAACAAAGACGACAACAAACAATGTAAGTACTTGGAGATTATGCATTCCGTACGACGAGAAAATGTATCGGGTGACTGGCATGTTTGCTTCCGATCGCAAGATAAGACGAACGTATGAACGATTACAAGGCTCACCGACCCACAAGCTGCATTTATATTATTCGCTCATCGCGGAGTTGTCGATCAGTCTGCGGGGTGTCGGGCTGAGCACCCTGGGCCATCAGCGGTATTGTCGGCCTTCCTCCTGCCACCGGACGGAGAGGTTGCCCCCACCCCCGCCGGGCGGATAGGCCACCCCGGCCGACGGACGGATAGGCCGCCTCCTCCTACCGCAGCCGGACGGATACGCCCCTCCCCCTCCTCCTCCCACCCGCCAGAAATCCCCGGCCGCAGCCTGTGCCAATAGCGCACACTGGCCTCACCAATATCGCATTGCCGGCGCCGACGCCACCAATTCCCTCAGGACAACAGCACAATCATATCTATTTGAACAAAACAGCGTTCACAATAGGGTTACCGCGGCTGAGCCGGCCGGTGCTGACCCGATCGCGTCGTATGAACGCCAGCAAACAGCATCAGTGCCAGACCTAGCTGATTCGGGTGCCTAATCCAAAGAACCAGCATGAAGGGCATGTGGTGTAGGTAAATTTTTAACGATTTATGGCCCTCACAGGATTTTCTTGTTTTTGTTGCTTACCGAAGCCTTATGCTTAATACCTACGATACTTCATTACAGTTTCTTTTGCATGGTAAATAGGTAGGTACTAGGTATGTAGTTGATCATGTCCATGAGCTATTGATGGCCATTTCGCGAGGGCTGTTAAAGTGTTCAGTGACCCCACCTTTCTCTGAAATATCAATCCCCTGTCGATTCTGCTTGGTGGAGCAGTTAGGATACACTTAAGTCTTCAGTGATGTATGCTCTTACAAGACGCAATACGAAGCGAATAATAATTGAAAAAGACCCAACACAAACACGACACATTCAGCGTGAACAATTAATCCCTCCCCATGATACAAGGTCGGCGGTCGTGCCACGCCGAGCGTGTGGTAGTCGGCTTCAGCGCCGAGGGCCCATGCTGCCGGCCAGCTAAGCTTCTTTGTACGCAGTGTCAGCCACAGCGAGCCCCTGAGGAGCGCGAGTTGCCTTCTGTAAACATTTTTGTTGCCTTCATCATAGATAACATGTTATCTATGCCTTTATCTTCAGTGACGGAACAAAACTACAGAAGTGCATCAGATGAATGCGTAGAAACGATCAACACCAAACGTCATATGATTGAAAAAATGTCCAAACTGATGTTGCTATACAAAAAAAAACTTAGAAAGGGCTCGACACTTTGTTTGAAAAGCATACCTATTCAATAGTCATTCATTCAATTCGTCATTCGTCAGAATATTCATTATTGTCAAGATAGCTAGCGTGAAAGTGCCGAGTTCTGCTGCCTGCTCATTTATTTCACTCTTATCACTTAATCAGAAGGCATTGCCAGGCAAAGCATACCTACGTCCGGTACTTAGTTCGATGAAGAGCGTGTAGCCTGATGCGTAGTCTCCCTCGGCCACAGTGGACGCTATCGTCGCGACCGACGATCACGTGACCAGCGGTAACGACGCCAGACGCAAGCAGAAGCTAAGAGCGCACCCGCCGCGGAGCGCAGCAGTCTGGTTAGTAGCCAGTAGCGAGCCCACAATGGACAAATCACGGAGCCTCAAGAGAGTCTCAAGTGTGCAGCTATTTGCTAGACCACAGGATAGACTCAACACTGCCGCCACTATCCGGAGTGTGGGCGGTTAACCCGCGAGTTGCTGGGGAGGGGGGGGGGGGGCGTTAAACGCCCCCACTTTTTTCGCCGCGCTATAGCATAAAAACGGCGCACCGCAGGCGCGCCAAAATTTAGGTACCTGTAGGAAATTGATTGAAGTATATTGTGACAAAGTTCGAAACAAATCGGTCGAAAACTTTTTGAGATATCGAGGTTTTAGTTACGTCATGATTTCTGAGTTTTCGACCAAAAATGGCATATGTTCGAAAAATCATATAAAATCATAGCATAGACATACAGACATGCAGTAAACGTCATTAGACTGCAAATACCATGGACAATCAAATGGCTATCTTCGATTTTTCATTATCGTTCCGCATTTTCCAATATCTTGAACTGAATCTTGGCATTTTCTCGTGACTACTTCACGACCATGATACATGCATTTCTTAAATTGAACTTTCTGAACTAAACACGTACACATATAAGATGAATGTTACCATCGTGTTCTACGCCCAAAATTACCCTTAAACCATGTGTCACAGGCTGCGAATATCAGTTTTGATTTTCGGGGATACGTGCCTACCTGGTTGACCTGACCTTGACCCTGACCTATGCTTGACTGACCCCTACATGGATCTGAGACTCTTGTAGGCCTTATATGAAGGACAATGCACCGTTTTGACAGAGTTTTTGACGAGAGGAGCCCATTGCGAGGTTCCGAAGAAAGCCCGATTTCAGGTGTTTGACCTGACCTTGACCCGACCTAAGATCTCAAAATTCAATTTTAAAGTACTCATCTGAAGCGTCTCGTCGCGTTCTTTCGTTTGCCGCCTCGTGCGTTTCGCTGCGCCTATTGGTTCTCGAGTTATCGTCTGGGGCGTTTAACGCCCCCCCCCCCCTCAGCAAACGGCGGGTGGCGAAATACAGCAGCAACTGCCGGGTTAAGGGCCCGAGTGCCAGCTAAGACCAATGGAGAATGCTGCAAGTAGATAGCGACACGGCTTTCCTGAGTAAATATATGTAAAATATGTATAAGTATATTGTCGATACCTCAGATTCCATATAAACAAACATTTCATAGGATTTATCAATATGGTATCGTCGGAGATCATGTGGAGAGAGCTATAGGTAGCGGCACATACAACTTTCCACATGACATGACAGACAGCTGACAGACCACCTGGTCCTCGACTTTTGATTAGTTATATCTGCACACACTCACGACACAAGCACTGGAGGGCCTGACCAGCAGTCCCCTCTGGCTGACAGGAACGGCGCAGACCTATGGGCCTCCAAAATGGACTGAGCAACTCGAGAATCGACAAGCAAGTGCCAACGCTGGCTCGAGGAACATTTGTCAGGGATGGAGGTGGACATTCATTACGGAGGAAGCCCGACTTACCCAGTCGCGCACTAAATCACTGCAAGGGCCAGGGGATAGGTTGAGTTAAGAAAACAGACCAAAACACTGACAGAACACACCACTCGTGGCGAATGCGACTCCAATATGAATTCATCCGACCACATGCACAACAAGTGCGTCTTTCAAACAACTCACACCACTGCAAAGCAACAGCGCAATCCAGCGAAGGTCATTCGCCTCCCTCACATGCGGATATATTCATCATGTCAGGCTCAGCCACCCCAAAACTCTACATCTGAACGTCAGAGGCGGGACTGGCGCCCAGCTAAACCGCATGGCTGGACGTACATTAAATCACTCCACCAAGCGACGAATGGCGTGCAAAACATTGAGCACAATTACATATTACTGTGATTTGAATAAATAGTGCCTTTGGTTTGTGTGCTCACGTTGCATGCTGGTGAAACATGACTCTGTCGACAGTTTATTTTATTCACATGCGACACGTTTATTGTTTATGTAATGATTTAGCTGTCCAGTCATGCCACCTGTCTTCACAGGTCTGTGATACTGTTGAGACTGGGTAGGCGTTCGCCTGGTCGCCGCTCCCACCTCTGACGTCCGGCGGGGGGGGGGGGGGCGGGGGCGGGGCGTACCTGGTCACGGAGCCGAGAGTCTCCTGGTCGGTCGGCCGCCGGTGATCCGCACAGTCCGCCGGTCATCCACACGCACCGTTCCACCAACTCGGCATTTATTGATCAAACACTACACTGTGCTGACATTTGGACACCGCCGAACCGCACAACAATTTCCGCGCTGCGCCGGCAGCCGCACGGCAGCTGGTGATCCGACCGGCTCAGCATATCACAGACGGTCAGGTACAACAGTAACGAGGGCTCAGCCCCTGTCAACAGTCCGCCAGACTAGAGCATTAACCGGAGCGGACGGCCCAGGCCGCTGACGGGCCCTCACGCCACCTCTCCCCCCTCCACCCAACGAGATCCCGTCCCCGTGAACCCACCGATCGGCGGCACCCACCGCACCCCGCCCGTCACCCCACCGCAGCCCGCCCGCCACCCCATCGCATCCCATCCGCCACCGACTGTCCCGCAGCGCCAAACACCGCTCGTATAATTATTTCTAAAATATTGCTAATCTCTTAAAATATTGCGGATCGGATCTGTAAAATCACTTGGAACCTGAACGACTCCAGTCGCCGGCAGTGTTTCGAACACGTCGGGTTCGAGCCCTCTTCAGTACATCCTGACTCTTCACCCGCAGCGCAGAGCCGAGTAAGCATCTCGGCTCGGCTCAGCACAACTCCCAGCCCCACCCCGGCATCCTGGCCGCTCAGCAGCTGCCTCAGCCACTCCGCAGCTGCCTCAGCCACTCAGCAGCTGCCTCACAGCTACTCAGCAGCTGCCTCACAGCCACACAGCCGCTGGTCCCCACGTTCCGGCACTCCATGCAAACTCAGGTAAGCCACCGGTCAGCGCAAACCAAACTGCCTCGGCGGCCGGCCGGCCAGGCGGGCTCGGGCCGGCCGGCGGACACTGCATGCGCGTCTCTAGGCGTGCGCGGCGCGGCCGGGCGTGTCATGGCCGGCCGCACTGCCTACCTGGCGGGCAGGAGTTGACGCACTGTCCGTTGAAGTGGAACAGGCCCCGGCGACACAGCACGCAGTTGTTGTCGTTCGGACCGATGCACGTCATACAACCGTCGGCGCAACGCTCACACCTGTGGGTGGGGCAGGAGACAGTGTCACAGCTAAATGAACACAAAACTAAATCACATATCTAGCCGGCTAAACAGCAATGAATGAGACTTTATGTCACAACCGACACTTAACCAAATGTTCCGAAACTAGATTCTCTTTTTTCAATAAAATAATAGTCGGTTGACAAGTTCTAAAATCCTTCCCTCAGGAGGAGGGAGAGAGTTTAAACGGATAAAATGACAAGGAATGGGACGCCGGGCGGGAAACGTGAGCTGCATCTAAATCACGGAAGGACGTGGGCTGTGTCTGCGACATCCCCAGGGCGCTTTGCTACAAAGCTGGGCTAACACAATACAGACTCTCCTGGGAGTGAAAAATGCAGCACAACGGGGACCGTAAAGTGCTTTTTCGAAGCTTTGTTCTTCACCGCGCAGGGTAGTCGGACAAATTTGTGAGTCAGTGGCACACAAAGCCGGTAAAATCCTCCCATCCAGGAGTTGTTCTAACACCTGTCACTTTACCTCTCAGTCAGGCAGCTTCTGAAGCCGGGTTCACACTCCATACAGGATTTCAGGTCTAAGCAGAGCTTTAACTGCGTGTTTATTTCACCTCTACTTAAAGTCCCTATTATTTGGCTTAGGTGCCCAATCGGAAAACAAGCCGGAAACCAAAGCTCGCAAAAGAATACACCAACGCATGCTAGCCATCGCAGAGTCAAACACATCATCAGGGTGTCTATTCGTCGTCAGAGGCAGACTTGAGAATCCTGCCGCGGCTCGTCGCATTGGCCGAGTCGGCTTGTCGCTCCTTCCGGCGGCATGGTTTATTCATGTTGTGTGTGCCGACATACGGTATACACACATACCACTGCCGCTGCCGCTCCGCCCCCACGACAGGCGGCACCTCCCCTCCCCTCCCCACCGAGCGACAGCTCCATCATAGCTCGCTCATTACCGAATGGATCCTCCCGCCCGCCGCCCGCCGAGGCACGTCCTCCCGAAGTTGGCGCTGCCCACGCACGGCGCTCGCTTTATAGCACCCGTGTCCGGCCGATGGACAGTTACAAACGACGCCCGGCCGATACCGGAGACCTTTAGCATTGGTTATATATGCACTCGCGGTGCGCCAACGGCGTGCCTGCATAGCCAAGTGGCTGGCCAAACTTTGAAGTGTCCATCAACTGCCTACCGGTGGGGTACGTGATGAGCGCTGCTTATGGCCGCAGCGAATGCTCGTGTAACGATTATCGGACACGCCAGCAGCGTCAATTAGAAGCGCGAGGAAGGCGCGGCATAGGGCGGACAAGTTGGACCATCGGACAGCCCTTGGAATGAAGTGCTCGTATTGAAGCGCGCTGCTATTAGAAAAACATCGATTCGGACAGCTGGCTCCTTAGATTATAATCTATGTTGGATCAACTGCGGTATCTAAATTATACTACATCATACGGACCTGTACCACTCCACTGACCTCTGGTGACCTCACACGGCACTCTACCATCCCACTGACCTCTGGTGACCTCACACGGCACTCTACCGTCCCACTGACCTCTGGTGACCTCACACGGCACTCTACCATCCCACTGACCTCTGCTGGAGCCGATAGGTGCCGGCCGGACACGAGGCCACACACTGGCTGTTGTGTAGGAACAGGTGCGGCGCGCAGCTGACACAGTGGTTGGCAGAGCCGTCACAGGCCGTGCAGTGCGGGCCGCACGACTGACACGTCTCGTTCGCTGGCGGCAGAACGGAACACGGATGGAGACGGAGAGACAGGTCAGAGGTCAGGGATGGAGCGAGTCGGTGGACAGCTTCAGAGCAGAGCCATAACATATTTACAGTCAGATTAAAGGTGGCCGTCCACTGGTTAGGCACGTATTCAGCGCGCAATCGTTCAGCGCCTAGCGCGCGCTGAAAAGTTCAATTATTTCAACTCGTCAGCGCGTAATTCGGCGCCGACCAGCCGACGAATAATCAGATGACTGCGCTTCATCGCGCATTCGGCGCTGAACCGCAGTCAGCACGCAGCCCATAGGCTCTAATGTTAAATTCAGCGCGTAAATGTGCACGCCTAACCAGTGGACGGCGATCTATACAATCAGTTACTACATAGTTACTACTGACGTTCCCGGTCAGGAGTGAGACCCAGTCCGCTGAGCGGCACGCCCCCCCCCCCCACCCAGCAGCGCCGACCTACCTGTGAAGTAGCCGTCCGGACAGGCGGGCACGCACACGCTCAGATCGGCGATCAGGTAGTGGCCGGCCGCGCAGTCCATGCACTGGTTGGCCAGCCGGCCCAGGCACGTGGCGCACGTGGCGTGGCACGGCTGACAGCCCGCCTCGCCGCCGTAGTACGTGCCGGGGTCGCACCAGCGCTGACACGGGCTGCGTGCAGGGGTGGGGGCGGGTCAGACGGGTGTAAGACGGTAACATCCCCCCTCAGCCGCGCTTAGCCTCCTCCCGAGCGGCAGACGTAGCGCCCCGACCGCCCGACGTCGTGCCAAGGCCTATTCCGCCGGCCCGGGAAATCCTATCAAAACACAGTAATTGAATCGGGGTGATCAAAGGACGCGACGCATTCTTCCAATAAGCCTCACCGTCAATTAGCTTGCTTTGATCAAGCTTTCAACTAAGAGCTCGCACTCCTGGCGAATATATAATAAAAGAGGAGAAAAAAAAACGTAAAAATATGGTTACCAAGAATACAACTACCTACTTGCTTCACCTAGAAAATGTTAACAAAGTGCAATCTAAGGAAGCGCCAACACGGCAGCTACTCGTACGCACCAATAATGCTGACAGGCTGTAAGACATAACGTCTCCAACCTTCTCTACCAATTTGCCGGTCCTGTAGCTCAGTTGGTTAGAGCGTTGGACTCCGCGTGGTGAGAGCACGCGTTTCCGGTTATGACAGTCCGGGTTCGAAGCGCGACGGGCGCTCGACATTTATGGGCCTCCTGACAGGTATGGTTGCGGTTGGTGGCAGGCCGTAGCCAGGCGAAGTCAGCGAGGGGACCGGCCGTGCGCGGCTTTGTGCGCACGTTAAACTTTGGACTCTAAATTCTGCCATAGAATCGGAATTACGCGATCGGAGGGTAGGGGAGAGTGATGCACATTCGTGCATGGGGCACATTCGTTTTCAGCAGTTTATGGGAACACGAGTGACTGCACGAGCTCCAGGTAAATTATGGAAATATGTCTATCATTGCCGCCCTTCGTTCATCGTAGAAGACAACACTGTACCTGCTGTCATGCTTGATAAAAACGCAAATTTGTAATATTCGTGAGCTTTCCAAACTTTTCTCATATCATCCATTTTCGTGATCCTGACTCGGAAATGTGGTTCAGCTTTTCAAAATTGGGGGTGAAGAAGCCCACTCTATTCACGGAACTGCTGCAAACTTGTTTGTTGAAAAAGTGTCATTTTTCAAAAAGAAATTTTGAAATATATTACTAATAACGTTGTGGGGCAGGTTCGTGTACGCACTGCCTGGGGGCACATTCGTGCATATTTTTTTTAGTTTTTGCGATTTATGACTTTATCTGTAGTAGGTTTCTCTAATGACGCTCGCCTGACTCAGTCTCGACTGCTTGCGACGTCGTGACGAGCAATTCACGCGAACTTGGCGAGGTCACGGAGGCCGGCAGTTGGCACATTCTTGTTGGCCAGCCCATTCTTTCTACATTTGTTGTGCAATGCATTCTTGTCGAAAGGAATCAAGTGAAATGACCCCCTGCCAATTGCCTTTGGTAAATTTCTGGTAATGCCCGGTAATTTCTCGAATTTTGCCGGGTGAACGGAAGTGCCCCATCCCTTGAACGAATGTGCCCCATAGGTGGGGCAGTTTCGTGCAAATGTTCAGAGTTAATAAAAGTCATTTTTTCTAATGGAAGCAATAATTTTATAGGATAACTTTTAAGAGGAAAACTATCTGCAATAGTTCCTTTCCATACTACAATCAACAATTTTGCCATTGCACTAACCAAAGAACAGATATATGGGTTTATCCATTTTTTGCACGAATGTGCCCCACTCTCCCCTAGAGGGCAGGGTCATCGCAACAAGATTCGCTTTGCGGTGGCTCTGTCCTTGTGAATCCTTCCCATCAAAAGGTTCGGACTAAATTTATAAAAAAAATATGTTGAGCGGGTTTATCACAATGAGCCTCAGACCAGACAGCCCAGACAGGTCAATGCAAAAAAGCCAGACGTTCAATGCAGAAAAGCCATACGTTTCCAATCAGCCGAGTGGAACAGAGAAAAGCTAACAGGAGGGAAATGATCGACGAACATTCGGTGGCATGGATAGAACGTAGGACTTAGACCCTCAAGAGGCAAAAGGAGGTGGAATGTGTACTCGCATGGAAAAATGTTTGTGCTGAGTAGGTACTCGAACTTTTTTAATTCAGCCTTGCGACAGCTAGTCAGGGCGTAGCATTCCCGGATTAAAGCCCTTATTTTGCAATGGCATAACCTAGGCCAAGGCCGATTTTGCTGCATTCGCAATACAAGTTAACGGGATGAACGTAAGTCAATTGTGTTTTACATCCGAATTCCGATTCAATCAGGACTAACGACTTGAATCCACCGCATGCTAGGGTCTATCGAAAATTGACTGACTTTGAAATGCTTGGGTACAAATGGATCGTCACTTCATACCTACAGAATCAGTCGACTGATAATAGCGATTTTAATTTATGTGTGGGACGACAACGGATAAGTTAGCGTCCTCTGCCGTCGGGAGGAAAAAAGCCGTAAGTCGATTTTTAACGATTTTTCGTTTTTGATATCGTTGGAAAGCTCTTTTCACGACGCTTTTAATGGCAGTACTCAATTTTGTGCAAGATGAACCCCCAAAATGTTACTTAATACATAAAAAACAAAAACGGCTTTTCTATCAAAACGTGACTGAACTTTGCATGAAGAAAGCCGCATGTGCCAATTCGGCACATACGGCTTTCAGGCGCGATTTCAAGAACGAAATATGTTTACATTGCGTCAGGAATAAAGCCGTATCTCCGTTGGGATGCGTTGGGATATGGATACGGCTCAGCGGCCTGCGAAACGCATGCAAAATAATCGCTTATTTCGTCTGGAAGAAAGCCGTATATCCTTACAAGCATGTTTTTCTGTATCTCCTTAGCGGAAGAGCCCAAATCAACAGCATAATTGTCACGTGATGGTAGCAGTCTGTGACCTAATTAGAAAACTAAGCAAGGGAATATGGGGCAGTGGGCGGGGTCATGGCCATATATGGTAGGGGCGTCTCGTGGGCGGAGAAAGAGACCACCACTGCTTGAATAAGACCTAGACACAGAAACCTGGTTTAGGTTTAGTCCAAGGCTTTAGAACTAGATATAGCTTTAGTCTCAGTAGAGACAGGGTGTTCGAAGGCACTATGTGCTTTTTAGGAAGGTAGCTGAAGCTGTCATTCAGATTTATGTGCTTAAATTAAATAGTATGAGGGACATCCCAGTCATGGACGAAAAGAAACGGAAGAAGCGCCGCGTGATAAGAGTGAATTGGGACGACACGGCCATATCGGACCTGCGGCTGCTACCCGGGCCGTACCTGGAGCCCGGCGGCCGTGTGCGGATGCGGCACCATGGTTCTGTGTGGCAAGGAAAGAACCCATTGCTGCGAAGAGAAGAGGCAATCTCGTTTTTGGTAAGTTCACACAATTTATAAACACCTTGCTCATTGCTGAGTTTCTAAAAAAAGGTAGGTACCTGTAAGAAGTTGATAACCCTGTTTTTAGCATTCCAGTGTTCTAATGTTGTGCTGCTTTCCTTAAATTATTTTTATGAGGATAAAATGCAATTTACATAGAAAAGGGGTTCACTACTCTCCTACCCTGCTTGATAACCAAAATCCTGCAAGAAACATGCTGATAGTTATTTACTCGTCATCTGCCCATTTCTCTAAAAGAAGTGATTTCGTTGCTCTCATAGGCGCGGGAGCCGGGGGGGACAGTGGGGGCAGCTTGCCCCCCCCCCCCCCAACTCTAGGGCCGTGGGGGCGGTGCCCCCGCAACTTTGAGACGAAATACCGCACTTTTTTGCAAATGTTTTTTCTTTTTTGTTGAAAAAGCCAATGGATGAAAAATAAGTGGCCTAAAACCGGTGAGAAAACTAGATTTGGGGGTACCCTAGGTTCATCTCCATTATGGTGTGCCCCCCCAGTCTGAAAGTAGTTCCCGCGCCTATGGTTGCTCTCTAGCACGATACTTGATTTTCAGACATTCCCTCAAGTGTCACAAATGTGACATCGTTTCCAGAGCAACCGCCCGCCTTGCCGGAGACGCCGCTGGAGCCGCTGGAGCAGCCGCTGCCCGCCTAGTCGGAGACTGCTGCACCTCTGGAACAGCTGCCCGCCTCGCCGCAGACTGCTGCACCTCTGGAACAGCTGCCCGCCTAGTCGGAGAAAGCTGTACCTCTGGAACAGCTGTCTGCCTCGCCGCAGACTGCTGCACCTCTGGAGCAGCTGCCCGCCTAGTCGGAGAAAGCTGTACCTCTGGAACAGCTGCCCGCCTCGCCGCAGACTGCTGCACCGCTGGAGCAGCTGCCCGCCTAGTCGGAGACTGCTGCACCTCTGGAACAGCTGCCCGCCTAGTCGGAGACTGCTGCACCTCTGGAGCAGCTGCCCGCCCCGCCGCAGACTGCTGCACCGCTGGAGCAGCTGCCCGCCTAGTCGGAGACTGCTGCACCTCTGGAACAGCTGCCCGCCTAGTCGGAGAAAGCTGTACCGCCGTTCGCCTCGTCAGAAATGTCATTAAGTCAGGAACCATCAATCAGGCATCGACTTCTAACCCAAGCGGTGGCTTTACAAGTGGAACGCCATGGCTATGTGACTCTATGTCGGTGCTGTTCAACACCGCTCATTCAGTGGACTTCACTGCCTTGTCGTCAATCGACATGACGACTAGCGAGCAGCAAGCTCCGTTGCGTGATTCGGCTCCATTAGATGACGGATTCTGCCCCACAGTCGCTTCCAGCCCAAAGAACACATTGGTGCAGCTGTCTGGCGCTGGTGACTCGCTGGAATCCCACCCTAGGGAGTCCAACCCTAGCAGATGTGTGACACCCGGCAGAGTCACTGATCTCGCTGTCGCTGATGAACTGCACTTTGCTGAAACCGCTCTCACCAAAGTGAAACGCACGAGAACCAAGGAGGATCAAACGAAGGGGTTTGCTGCAAAGCATCCTTTGCTTCCCGTCCCTGGCGACTGGATGGCAGGTCGGTGTAAACAGCAGTGCGTAGGTGACGTCTCGGAGGCTGAGCGGCGCCAAATCAATGAGACTGTGAACAATCTGCCCATAACAGCCAGACGAGAGTGGTATCGTCGCTTCGTCACCGAAAACGGCGCTGTTTCAGGACAGGAACGAAAGAGAAGACGTCTACTGCAGTGGCATCTGCCAGTGGGCTTCGAGAAAATCCGGGTGTGCAAGGAACTTTTCCTCAGCACGCTTCATTTTAAGACAGGCAACGATAAGCCAGTGCTGAACGAACAGCATCACCTTTGATCCCACGGCTCCAGCGGACAAGCGGGGCAGACAGCCGGCACCGAAGAAGGTCGATGAAGACATGATAGAGCAGCATATCCTTTCCTTCCAACCCGTGGCACCCCACTATCGCTATCTCCATGCGCCGAACCGCCGATATCTGCCAGACGACCACAACACATCAGCTCTGCTTCGCCTTTTCGAGCAAACTCATGGCAAGGGCATATGCTCTGAAACGACATACCGCCGTGCTTTGGAGCGGATGAACGCTGGATTCACCAAGCTTGGCACGGAAGAGTGCTCCGAGTGTGCAGAATATGCCCTACATGAATGCGCCAATGAAGGTACCGCATGTTCCGTTTGTGTAAAACATGAAGACCACATCGTCGAGAAACCAGGCGAGGTCTGCCTACCAGAAATATGAGAAAGAGAGAGTGGGATGAGTGTGAGCTCGTTGTGTCCGGGGACATGATGAGGATATTCCTCCTCCCTCAACTACCGCACAAAGAGTGCATATTCACGTCGCGTCGCGTTGTCTATAACGAGACGTTTTCTGCGGTGGGCAAACGTTCTTGGAAAGCGGGAGAGGTGCCGAGGCCAGTCTCTGTTCTCTGGCATGAGGGTCTAGCGAGAAGGGACGCACAAGGCGTGACATCCGCATTCATCCGCTTTCTACGGGCGCAGCGAGACTTCTGCCAAATCGTTATCTGGCTGGACACCTGCACAGCCCAGAACAAGAACTGGGTGCTCATCACCGGGTTCATTCAGACCGTAAATAACCCATCAGAAACCCTAAAGAATGGTACACTTGTGATGTCGGCTGATGCAGTGCACCGAGTGTGCAACAAAGACCTTAAAAGACAAAAGGCTGTGGCTGACTGAAGATTTTAAATCGGCCATCGAACAGTCATCTCGACTGATTGAGAGACACCCAAAGACTTCCTGGAAGTGAAAAGCGGCATCAGCAGCCAGAAGCTGAAACTCATCGGAGACTCGGACGACCGACCCTACCTGGCGTCACTCAAAGTGATCGAAGTTCGCCGTGACACGCATCTTGTGTTCACCAAGACATCTCATGACATGGACGGATGGCGGGCCTTTGACCTCACCAAGGGAAGATTCAGACCTAATGAGCAGCCAAAGTCCAAGTGTCAGCCGAGAGGAGTAAACAAGTCGAAACTTCTCCAGCTAAAGCGACAGCTCCTCCCGCTGCTGCCTCCCCAGGGGCGCCACTTCTGGGAGAGCCTACGAGCGTCTGCGGCCCGTGAGCTGAACGGATGAGGCAAGAAGGGTGAGCGGTCAGCGGGCTCAAAGCGCACAGGAACCAGCGAATGGTCTCATTGTTGTGCATTGTTTGTGCAATTTACAATAGTTAGCGGGAAGAATCGAATGAACTTTACTTCCCCCTGTATGAAATGACACTGTTTTCTCGTTCTTTTGTACGAGCTCGGTATGGCAGCATTTCGCCATGGCTTTGATTGCCGTGAAAATACATCCATGTTTCACATGCTGCATTTTTGTATGACGAATACAGTGTTAGAAATTGAGATGCGACGTACAAGCGGCGTCATTCCCGGTTCCTAACGAATGGGACTAGCATAGAGCTTTTTTTCATGGCAAAAATAGTTGCGCGACTCCTACAATACGGTTTTTCCATGATACGGCTTTATCCATGACAAAAATAATCATAGAAACACAAGATTATTTCTAAGTCAAAACACTTTTTACGTCTTGACTAAATACGAATGAAATTGTTAATCGAAACCAGTTTCACTTAATTTATTGTTTCATTCCGATCCCGACGGTATCTTTAACCTTGTAATTGGATAAATATAGCGGCTAGCAATAATGAAAACGCGTTTTCGCCTCGCCTGAACATTTTTGTTTGTGAAAAATTGACCTAGATACGGCCTTTTTTCCTCCCGACGGCAGTCCTAGAAGACCCTAATGACATCAGTCAATAACCACACCGCAAAATATAGACCACATCTCTGATGCACTTGAAAGAACACAATACTCAGTAGGTATATCCAGTAGTCTTTGAAACACATCACTCCCTTTTTTTAGTTATGCTCTGGCGAGTCACTATTCTAGCGCTGGGTTCTATACCCCACATGACCCCTAGGCTCTAAATCAACGCCCGAGACTAAAACAATGTGTCGCCTCTGCATAATCACTTTAACCAGATTGAAGACAAAGCTGCGCTGAAGCAGAACACTTAATTAAGACTCCAGGGTGGCCCGTAAAATACACCCGAGCGTGACGAGAGCGGCTCAGACGGCCGGCTGAAACTTTAATAACATCGACCGCCATACATCGCGACTTCGCGATTCGTGCTTGAAGACCACAATGTAGGTACAATTCGCACAACAGTGGCTGGTCAGCCGATGTGTTTTTAGGGATAATAACTTGAATGGCACAGAGACTCCAGTAAAATGACTAGACAGAAAAGAAGAAGTTTCATGTGGGCACTTCGCACCAATGCTTGCGAACAGCCCATACACGTATTCATCAATACAAATCAATTACTATGATGTTGCAAACCAATCACCTAGTGCTGTGAGAGCTGTACGTGGATCCGAGCATCCATAAATGACACAGATCCGGGACCTGTTTGCGCCTTTTATCAGTACTCGACCACGACCAATCAGAGATGTTCCCGTTCAACAGACCACACTACTCGTGTGCCGTTGCGCTGCGTTTTGTTTTGTTTTGTTAGGTAAGGCCCTTTCGGTCTGACGAGGCCATTTCAGGGCCGGAAGGATGATAGGAATTAGGGGGAGACATTGGTCTGGGCAGACACCCTAGAGAGTCGCCGGGGCTGAGCCCGTCCGAAAGGACAGGCCGACAAGCCCCCCAAGCACTCTCTGCACCCGGCTACGGGGTGCGCTCCCTCGGGAGCAGCGGTGCCGCTCCAAGGGAGCAGCCCGCATGGGATAAAGGTGCCTGTCCAGCCCGGAGTGGGGGTTGCGATGTGGAAGAGAAGAATTTGGTATCCTGAGGATGGAAGCGACGGAGCGGAGGGTTGCGCTGCGCCGCGGTCTCACCTCTTGTAGTGGTCGCGGCACCGTTTACACATATCGGCTGCGGGCTGACTTTGACAGGCCAGTACGCAGCTGCGGCTGCAGTACACGCCCGGTGACGAGTCCTCGCTGCGACTGACCACGGCAGCGTGGCCGGCGCCGCCGTTACTGCCGGTACCCTGTTGGAACCGGATGTAGAGGATGGCTAGATTGGCAGTCTGACAGCCACGGACAGACGGCCACACCACACAGACTGGGTAGTCAGACTAACGGTCTGAATGTCTGATAGACAGACAAGGATAGACGGCCACACCACACAGACTGGGTAGTCAGACTAACGGTCTGAATGTCTGATAGACAGACAAGGATAGACGGCCACACCACACAGACTGGGTAGTCAGACTAACGGTCTGAATGTCTGATAGACAGACAAGGATAGACGGCCACACCACACAGACTGGGTAGTCAGACTAACGGTCTGAATGTCTGATAGACAGACAAGGATAGACGGCCACACCACACAGACTGGGTAGTCAGACTAACGGTCTGAATGTCTGATAGACAGACAAGGATAGACGGCCACACCACACAGACTGGGTAGTCAGACTAACGGTCTGAATGTCTGATAGACAGACAATGATAGACGGCCACACCACACAGACTGGGTAGTCAGACTAACGGTCTGAATGTCTGATAGACAGACAAGGATAGACGGCCACACCACACAGACTGGGTAGTCAGACTAACGGTCTGAATGTCTGATAGACAGACAAGGATAGACGGCCACACCACACAGACTGGGTAGTCAGACTAACGGTCTGAATGTCTGATAGACAGACAAGGACAGACGGCCACACCACACAGACTGGGTAGTCAGACTAACGGTCTGAATGTCTGATAGACAGACAAGGATAGACGGCCACACCACACAGACTGGGTAGTCAGACTAACGGTCTGAATGTCTGATAGACAGACAAGGATAGACGGCCACACCACACAGACTGGGTAGTCAGACTAACGGTCTGAATGTCTGATAGACAGACAAGGATAGACGGCCACACCACACAGACTGGGTAGTCAGACTAACGGTCTGAATGTCTGATAGACAGACAAGGACAGACGGCCACACCACACAGACTGGGTAGTCAGACTAACGGTCTGAATGTCTGATAGACAGACAAGGATAGACGGCCACACCACACAGACTGGGTAGTCAGACTAACGGTCTGAATGTCTGATAGACAGACAAGGATAGACGGCCACACCACACAGACTGGGTAGTCAGACTAACGGTCTGAATGTCTGATAGACAGACAAGGATAGACGGCCACACCACACAGACTGGGTAGTCAGACTAACGGTCTGAATGTCTGATAGACAGACAAGGATAGACGGCCACACCACACAGACTGGGTAGTCAGACTAACGGTCTGAATGTCTGATAGACAGACAAGGATAGACGGCCACACCACACAGACTGGGTAGTCAGACTAACGGTCTGAATGTCTGATAGACAGACAAGGATAGACGGCCACACCACACAGACTGGGTAGTCAGACTAACGGTCTGAATGTCTGATAGACAGACAAGGATAGACGGCCACACCACACAGACTGGGTAGTCAGACTAACGGTCTGAATGTCTGATAGACAGACAAGGATAGACGGCCACACCACACAGACTGGGTAGTCAGACTAACGGTCTGAATGTCTGATAGACAGACAAGGATAGACGGCCACACCACACAGACTGGGTAGTCAGACTAACGGTCTGAATGTCTGATAGACAGACAAGGATAGACGGCCACACCACACAGACTGGGTAGTCAGACTAACGGTCTGAATGTCTGATAGACAGACAAGGATAGACGGCCACACCACACAGACTGGGTAGTCAGACTAACGGTCTGAATGTCTGATAGACAGACAAGGATAGACGGCCACACCACACAGACTGGGTAGTCAGACTAACGGTCTGAATGTCTGATAGACAGACAAGGATAGACGGCCACACCACACAGACTGGGTAGTCAGACTAACGGTCTGAATGTCTGATAGACAGACAAGGATAGACGGCCACACCACACAGACTGGGTAGTCAGACTAACGGTCTGAATGTCTGATAGACAGACAAGGATAGACGGCCGCATCGCACAGACTGGGTGGTGAGACGGACGGTCTGATAGTCTGGCAGGCACGGACAGACGGCCGCATCGCACAGACTGGGTGGTGAGACGGACGGTCTGATAGTCTGGCAGGCACGGACAGACGGCACGGCCACATCGCACACACTTGTTGGTGAGACGGACGGTCTGATAGACGGACAGACACGGACAGACATCATCAATGTCATGTCGCACGCACGCACAGCGTATTCAGAGTGACTGTTAGGTTAGGGTAGGGTAGGACACACACAGACTTCTTTCACTGTGATAATTAGCCAAACTAGTCACACACACTGACTGTAACTGAATACCACTCAGTCAAGCGCCCTTGAAGATCTAATCCACCAGCGCAGATCTTGCTCCATCAGCGTAAACAGCTTGGGTCCAATTCAGAAGCTCAGCAGACGCTTCACTAGAGACACTGATGAGCAATTATGTAACTACAATTCCATTCTTTTCAAACATAATTGAGCCACGATCCGTCGACAAAAACGTCATAATGGTTCACGAGAAATCGCAGGCGGTGAGTGATTCTTGAAAGCATTACAAGTAGTGACGGACAGGCCGCTCCGGCCTCCGTATCATGCCCCGGCCGGCAGCGGCGGCGCGGTCCTCTCGGACAAATGGCACCAGCCCTGGTCACGGACAGCAGACAGAGGAGCCGTCCGGTCAAATCGGGCCAATCGGTGCGCCACTGCGACAGCCGACCGTCGGTCACACTGCGGGGCGTGACTGGTCGGTTACGGCCGGAGGCGAGGACCGGGCAGGGACGAACGGTGCCACCGGACTGGACCGGGACAGGAGCGGGACAAACTATGGACCACAGCACAATGCCGAAACACAGGGCACCTGAGCCGTCAGTATCGAGACACGTGGTACCAGCGTCGAAACGCACGGCACCGCCACGCTGGGACGCCAAGAGTGGAGATGGGCGCTCTGACACAATCTCTACTCGTATATGCTGCCACAGCAGCCTTCGGCTATGATCATTCCACATCTACACACGGCATACAGCACAATAGAACATCTACCACCACTCCAGCGCAGGCGCTCGACCCCGTGACCACCGATCGCGACCGTTAGCCACCTTCCTCTGAGAGTTTAGTGCAGCCGGTGTAGAGGGCTGATAGGCCAGAGTGGCATCACCCCTCTCTCCCAATCAAAGATGTGATGAATATGCCACAGACTGCAGCAAAGCGTCTCCAGTAGGCACCAGTAACCAGCAATGTCGGTAAATCGGTCAGCATTCGCCTCTCTGCAGCCGACGCATCACTACCCGCGTGGGCGGCGCCGAGAGAACGCTCCCAGATCAAAATCGATCCAAAGCTTTCAATCACAGCGCTCGAGCCGCCGTTTTAGGTGCTATCGTCTCCCTCGAGGATGGTTGGCTTCGAGTAAACAGGCAGTCGGCCCGTTAGGCCGGCTCTTTCCCCTTTATCACGGAAATTGTGTTTGGCTTGCCGCTCCTCAGCAGTGGTGCTATAGGCGGGCGATGCCACCTTCACCGGCAGACGATAACGCGGCCGGCGGCGGCGCCGGAGGGTGGGGGTGGATGGGGGGAGGGGGAGAGTGCGACTGACGTCCCGGTACTGTCAGTGGCAGAACGCTATAGCAAACCTTCAGACGGAAGTCACTCGTATAAGCAGACAAACGGACATATACAGACAGACAACCATTTCCATACTGACGGAGAGGCAGACAGTTAGACGGACAAATATAAATACAGAAACACACGCAAGGATAAACATAGAGAAACGATGACAGAAAATGAACGATGCTCCACTTTACAGTCAATACGTCCGCTGTAATGACGATGACGATGCTGCGACCCTCCCGTGACCCTCCTGTAAACTCGTCACCCACACGCACCTGTTCGGCCGGTGTCAAGTGGACGGGCTCCTGCTCGGTGCCGTACAGGATCAACTGCCACTCCTTGAGCACGCTGTCCGAACTGGAGGTGCCCGCCGACGCTGCCGCCTTGGTGTTGACCACCGTTAGGTTCCAGACGCCCTCGGGCCGCTCGCCCCAGAAGTGCACCGACATGAAGGGCCAGCGGTCGAAGCTGCTTCCCAGCACGTCCTGCGGCCGCTCGAACAGCAGTGTGCTGACAGTGCCGGACGGAGAGCTGAGCAGGATGCGCAGGCCGCCGCGCGGCACGTGTGTCAGCGTCACCTTGCACTGCACGTGCTCGAGGAAGTTGACCGACTGCGGCGAGCCCTGGCACGCGTTCACCTCCATCGAGGTGTGCAACTCGCCGCCCTCCTCGGCTGGGATTCGCCTGCCGGAGGGAGGGGTAGGTCAGACAGACACGGGACTGGACGCGTACCCAGCAGGGCGGGCAGACGGATAGACCTAGACAATATACAATATACATGGTATTGATAAACAACAGTTTCGGTAACACAGCCCGAGGAGAGAGTCGACATATCACTCGGTACGGCATTTCAAGCCGAGACAGGCGTGGCTCATTAGCGTTATGGTGGTCCCACTGCTGTTAAACACAATCCTCTCCTACGAATCCTTCTCTCCAACACCTACTTTACTCTCCATCCCAACTACCCAGGCTCGAGTTCGCAGCACGGCACCGACCTTTGGCATTCCGCTCTGCCGCTCTGTAGCCGGCAAACAGGACGAACAATGCCGCACTCGGCACCCAAGTAGGTGCTCACACGAAACTGAACACACCGCGCCCCGGAGAGCCTTCCGCTAGCGCCCGACGAGCACCGCTCTCTCGCCTCTCGCCCCTTTCTCCCTCTCCCCACCGGAGGTCCGACTCATTCGCGCCGACACTCGGCCTCGTTAAGGCAAATCGCGTTGGTAAAACGGCGCCGCCGTCCCGGCCGGGGGTCCCCAGGCAATCAGTACCCCTGACAAATGAAGGGCCCTAAATAGGGCGCCGGGCGCGGACGGTGCGCAGATCCGACCCGTTAATGAATTCGCCGTCCGACAGCGACCCATGGACCAGTCATGGGGCGCGGGGTGTGTCCGTAACAGTATCATCCAAAACAGCCCATTCACAACCCACGGGACGGAGCCCAGCTGATTTCGTACAACGGATTGACGTTTAACTACCCCTCAACGACCGTTTGTTGACTATGCACATTGTCCGACGCAATAAAAGGCCCGCTTATTCGATCCTGAATATGTACTAACCGGACAGCGTCTTTTTTATAGGGGCTCCCTTCTTCGGTCTTGAATACTGAACATGTCATTACATTGGTCGGTGGCCAATATAATGACATCAATATATCATGCATAATGACTCCCCCATCGACATTCAGTCATAGGGAAGGGCGGATAGTCGGTGAGTCCGTCAGCCAGTCCTGGTCAGGCAGCCGTTACTGGCTACATCAAATCGACCAACAGCAGTTTCATAGCTGAGTCATGAGTTGTTTTCTACGCTGAATAAGTTAGCAACAGATCATTCAAAATGGGATGAATAGTCTTAATTTGGGTATTCATACAAGTAGGTTTCTTCCTCAGTTTCATATAAACATCTAGCCAACTATGCACCCTGCTAATTGCTATGTTGGACGAACCCCGAAGCTAATGGGGTTGAAATTTCGAGGGCCAAAATGAATCCGAAAGCCGGGTACGTTGGGGGCAACATGGCCTTTACTGGAATTGTAGGACCATCCACTCGGAAATTAGACGCAGGGGAGAGGCGTCAGGGAGCACATTCGGCCGGAAACTCCGGCGGGGTGTGGTTAAGACAGCCGTAACTGTACAGCTCATCAGTTTCGAACTAACGTTTGAGACGTCAAACTTTAGCTGTACCCCCGTACTCCCCCTAGACAAGACGTGCGCGATCAGAGTACTAAACTGTGCCGATAGCGTTTCACGCAGTCCCGAGCCGCGACATTTGCGGCCGGCGGTGACGTCTGCTGCGGCCGGCCGGCCGGTTTCAGAGCCCCATGATGACCGTCTGACCGCCCCCGAACCAGCGCGGACGGTCCGAGCACCACCGACGGTGGCCGGCCGCCCGGCGGCGCTCACCGGCCCCGCTCGCAGTTATCTCGGGCGCCCAGAGATCTCCCCTCCCGCCCCCTCACATCCGGCACGTCCCCGCTGTGAGCCGGCGTCCCGCGACGGCGCCATGCTGCCACTCGGACCTCTCGTGTCATTCAGTGGACAATTTCGGCCGGGGGCTGAGATATGGCGCCCGGTTACGGCACTGCCGCCGGCTCTCCGCCGGCCGCCGACGCCGCTATGCCCGTCTTCAGACATGATTTAAGTGGCTATTTCGGCGGCGAAAATATTTAATCATGACGAAGGGCAAACGTCATTAGAGGGATTAATACAGCAGGCAATCGTGAAACTTGCTTGACGACCCGGATGTGACACAATTCGTCTTACATTATTTCAACAAAGTTTAGGGGTGAGAAAACATTAATTGGATGCATGTTTGTAGGCCGCTAATGAAAAGGCACACTAATGAAAATTGAGAGTTTGACATGCTGATTAAGACCATTCATTTAATTCCCGGGAACACTGGTGGAACAGGCGCTGAGCGAGATCGATGATGGCGGAAGAACAGCCATCGATGAGCCGCGGAACATTCTGGGGCTCTCAATGATCGGTATGTAAATGGTGCCGCCAACCCTGGCCGCGAGCCGCCGTCGGGGGAAGACGAATTGGACACGGTCTATTCTGCATAACCAGCCTGTAATGGTCGTCAATGGAGGGGCGGGAATTAATTCTGACCAGGCCCACACCGGCCCCACGGGAGCTCGGCCCGCCCACGCCCGTCACAGTAACATTGATAACACGTCAGCCGGACACGGGTAGAGCAGTCTGGGCATGGAAAAGGTGCCAGCCATAGAAACGCTGTACCAGACGTCGGTCCCGAACACTGGCTCAACAGAATCGACAGAGGTGGGTGGCTCTTGGGGCTAACAAGACGGCGCCACTCCAGTGGGTTTACAAGGCGCGTCGACAATGCCTAATAGCAGCTTTGTAACGACGTGACATGAATTTGTATCGACATGTAAACGACTTCGACTATTCTAACTAATGCAATGTCTAGTCTTTTCAATGAAATTTTCATGCCAATTAATAATGATGCTATGCTTTTCATAGCAAAAGATTATCCGTCAAACTTGACGTCCATCGAGCCTTTTACAATAGGAACCACTTGCTATTAGGTTTCGAGGGTAACTAGGGCTTTGTGTGTGTGTGTGTAGTGTGTACTTCGTCAGCCTACGTAGAACGCCACATACCCGACGGCCATTGACTTCCGCTGAATACCACTCTGAGCGCTCAATATGAATTAATCAACGCACCAAAAGCATCCGTCATTTCGCCCTGAAAGCGCATCACGCGATATTCATATTTGATACGCCGTTTAGTTCGACCGATCGAACTATCCACATTCTTGTCGTGTTATCCACCATATGAGGCAATCAATGCCCTCCACATCCCAAGTCATGGTCTACGCAGTAGGCGCAGGGCCGAGCCAGTCACGCCGCTGACCCGCCCACGTCCTTGGCTCTGGCGTCCTCAACGAATAAAACATAGGCAGTCCGATCGGGACATTTGTGGGGACCGGCGGCGGCACGTGCGGGCCGCGCGCCGGGAAAGGGACGGCCCACCGTCACCAGTACTGAGTGTATCCGGCCCCCTGTGGCGGTCACCGCCGTAGCGCCGGTCTGATGACAGGGCTGTGCACGGTAGTGTACCGACCGACCCCCACCAAACACGATTTGGCAGCACTGTAATGCAGTGTCCCAAAATTGAGTTTTGTCTTGGGTGTCAGAGGGGAAAATTACCCACCAAAAAGAGGGGAGAGAGTGGAAAACTGCTGATTCGATTAGATCAAAAAGGAGTGAGAAATGACAAAAAGCATGCATTTTATTCTAGGGTGTAGAATGTTTGATGCTAACTGGGCATCCACACAACTGTCTTTCTATAGGTAAAAAATCTATGTTTTCTTGGTTGGGACTTGGGAGTGGAAAATTGTTCTTAAAAATGGTGGTGAGAGTGGAAAATGAATTTCATTTGGATGTCGTTTCCCACCCAAATAGACAAATTTTGGGACATTGCTGTAATGACGCCTGCTGGGCGTGAAGTTTTCCCTTCACCATAGGGTTTACACACAAACTGGTCAAAGTTTGAGCCAGGATATACTAGTTTAAAAATGCAAAAAACGAACAAATTTTGGCATCAATAGATTCAGCATTTCATCGTGTGCCTCAAACCGTCCATCATTTGGCCTCAAAGGAGGTAAAAATTGTTCAAAATCGAAGTTGAAAAGATGCTTTCTGAGCACATAATCTGGTAGCAATCACGTGACCTGCCATAAGCAGCTTATCGATAATTTACAAACATAATTATTAATATGCTGCTTTAAACAACATTAATCATACATTTTGAGCTTTCGGTACTTTAAATAAGGTCAAAACATCGCAAAACACAAAAGTTAATACAATAGTCACGTGGGTGTCAGGAAATGTCACAGGTGCGTCAAATTTGTGACTGGGGCTTTACTTTCAAACATCGGATCTACCTGTTTCTTATAGGTATCTTGGCACCGACCAGCCACGGGCACGTGACATTGAACTGACGGCGCCGCCGACCGGCCGTCACAACCTGCCCATTACTCCTGCTTTAAATGAGCTGGTAATGCATCATGTGCATTGTGCAATGCAGAACGGGTCGCATGCCACCAACTAGTTCATCATCCGTACCATAATTCATTTAGATGCAGTGAAATTATATGCAATCGTTAAAAGTGAAACGCATGACACGCTTACATAAGAACACGTCTAAATAGAAATATGAAGAATAGTTCCCCGTTCCCAAAGGCGTTGTTTGCAGAGGGAGCCGTACATATTCCATGAATTTATCTATTTGGCTCAAACATTTCACTCGATTTCGGATATGAACGAACATAAAATAGCGTCAATATAAACTGGTAGATATCACCTAAAACTGAATACAAAGGACTCAAATAAAGGCGAATAAAGTTTAACGACCAATAGCTAAGCATTCAGAGAGAGTCGCGCCCAAACTCACCGAGTGCGGCTGTCCAGGGGGGTGATACAGATGTGCTGTGTGGGCACAGTGTGCCACCGCCGGGCCAGGTCCACCATGGCTCCAGCGTCCATCAGGCCGTACCCGAACTTGTGGCTCACTGCCGGAGCGACATAGCAGGGAAACGGGGAGCTCAAATACACGGCATGGAGAGATAGATCCGGGAGAGAGCCAGAAACTCAAGCGGGGCTGATCATTATATGGTCATCAAATGTGTCTCCCACACATTTTCAAAAAGCTGCTCGATGACATCAACAATGTTTCTTGTCGCTCATCCATCTCATGAATGTCAAACCCATGTCCTGCCTCATTCACCACCCCACCCCACTGCGTCCCATCCCGTCCCTAGCTCACCCTTCCGTCCGACACCGTTGGTGAGCCAGCCGAGCTCGTGCGCCAGTGGCTCCGGCCGAGACGTCATCAGCGTGATATACTGCATGTCCCGCCAGGTCAGGTTGGGGTTGGCTCCCAGTGTCAGAGCGATGATACCGGCGGCCAGCGGAGCCGACGCCGAGGTACCTGCCGAGAAGGGACGACCGGGAAGGGACGGTCAGTCGGCGGGCGATAGACAGAAATGATCCCATGACAAGATCCCGAGTGGTGTACATCAGAAGTCGGTGCTGAGACAACAAATGTCAATTGGTGGATGTCGGAAAGGAGAATGCGATATCACGACGGTCACCAGGTAGCGGCGATTGGTAACCGATCTGAACGTTAAGGAGGAACGGGCAGGGGTTGATTGGACAAGAGCCGACAAGATAATGCTGAGGGCCACGGCTTGGATGAGGTGAGGATAGGTTTGGCTGACAAACGGCAGAGAGGCCAGCCGAGTGGCTTCATCTGTGCGAACAACAGAAATGAGAGCGTTTAGGGTTTTTGATTGACTATGAAGTCGATTCAGTTAACGCAGACCGCTTCTCGGCATTTCAGGATGTAGCTCACCTGAATTAACGAAAGAATAAGGCTATTTAAACTTCCATCCAAACTTCAGATTCACTAATTAACAGCTCTCACTTCAATTACTGTATTGCCAGAGCCAGACGTGGACTTAAAGCTCAGAGAGACATTGCGACAACTTCACCCGTTCACTACCATCGAAGCAAAATTGCACTAATTTTCCGGTTAACGGCAACTGGATCAGTAGACCCAAAAGACACAGGTGTGAACTAGAGAACCAAAGGGACACATTACAGGTGTGCTCCAGAGAGACCAAAAGAACACATATGTTAACTAGCCGGACCTTATGTGACCTCTCACCCGTGTGTGAGCTCTCACCTATGTGTGACCTCTCACCCGTGTGCGAGCTCTCACCTGTGTGACCTCTCACCGTGTGTGACCTCTCACCCGTGTGAGACCACTCACCTGTGTGTGACACTGTGCAGATGTGTTTGGGTCGGAGGGCGGCGTCCTGGTCGCAGGTGGCGATCGATTTGTCCTGGGACGGCAGACCGGAGCTGTAGGTGGTAGCCAGGGTGGAAGCACACTCCTCCAGGTACCACGGCTTCTTCCTGAAACAGAGAGAGACACGTCCCACTGTCAGTCAGCGCCGGCCGCCACCGGCCACCCGGTGACCGCGTCAGTCAGGGTCCCTCTCCCTAGCCTACCAGGTGTCCCAGGCAGTCACAATGTGGGTTATCACAATGTCATTGTCACAATGTAGGTGTCCACCGCGCGGTGTCCTCTGAGACAGCCAGAGTTCGCCGCCTGCCGCGTCCCTGTCAGCCAGCGCCGGCCGCCGCCCAGTGTCCGAGTGCCGTGGCAGCGGATGTGTGTGTGCTGTTATTATGTGTTGAGTTGTGTGATGAGTTTCGGGGCTTAACGGCTATCAGCCCATGTAGGCTATCATTCCATGGTGTGCTGATGTGAATGAACAATACCTTGCCACTTTTAGATCGTTACGAGCGAGCGAGCGCAGCGAGCGAGCGAGTTCATACTGAATTAAGGGAAAATCCTGAGTATGAGCGGCCGGCCGGCCGGCCGGCCGTGGGGACGCTCTTCAAAAGCTAATATCTTAGGAACGGGACATCCGATTGACAAGCGGTCTTCTTTACTGAATGTCACTTGGATGTAAAAGTTCTGTGGTGTGATGGCCACCATGCGTTCTTGCCAACCACCGCGTGGTAAAGTTGGACATTTTTTAAGAACCCCCAAAATTGCAACCTCAATAACGGCACAACGGTTGGGCCGATTGAATTGAAACTCGGTATACAGTTATACCGAGTTTCAATTCATCAGATAATTCATCTGCATGTGTTAAGGTTGGGGTGCTACAGCACGTGCGCACGTGCAGGGGGCGCTCCCAGATCTCGAGAACGGCTGGGCCGATTGCGCTCAAATTTGGTACACGGCTGGGGACCAGTTAGTAGGGTGCCGTGCAAAAGTCAGTTTGGACCCCGCTTGCACGTGCGCACGTGCAGAATGCCGCTTCCAGATCTCAGGAACGGCTGGGCCGATTGCGTTCAAATTTGGCATACCGCTAGCGACCGGTTAGAAGGGTGCTTTGCACAAGCCCGTTGGAAGTACCCTCTCGCCCTTGCGCACGTGCAGGGCTCACTATCTCGCTCGCTCGTTCTTCTCCCAAAAGGCGTTTTACTGGTTTAACCCGCGCCCCGTAGGGCTACCGGCGGACCCTACCACCCGTAGGGGGGGGGGGGCCGTTTCGGCCCCCCCCCTAAGATCTCGGAAAGTTACCGGCCGATTTTCAAAATTCAAACGGCGTTCGATAGCCCCACCCGGGAACTACCTTGTGACCAAATTTCATTGACCTAGGTCAAACCGATGACGTCACAGGTCAGGTCAAAGGTCAGATTTTCACCGTTCACAGGCAATTCAAGAAATGTGCTGTGAAAGCGAGTAAATTGGTATTTTATTGAAAACCATCGATGGTACATTGTTCGTCAAACACATACTTTGCTATCTGAGGTCACTGATACCAGGTCAGGTCACAGCGAGGTCAGGTCACCGGGGGTCACAATATGAATGTGTCGTGTGATACATGTTTTCTGGTCCATTTTACATGACAAATGCGATTATGTGGGTTAGGCAGCCTTTGGGGCCAGCCTAGGTCACGTTTTTGAGAAGGTCAGGTCAAGGTCAGGTCAAATTAGGTCAAATTTCAAAGTTGATATTTTTGCATAAAATGGGTATCGATTCGATGCAGCTCGTCACGGGGAGTCTAATGGTGGTCTTCGTTTTGCTCTACGAGTTCTAGAATTGCCAAAAATTGAGTTTGAAAATTTGACGTCATCATTTTTGAACAGTTTTTTCGCTATAACTTGGCCAAAAAACGAGGTATCGATCTGAAATTTGGTATGTAGATAGAAGACGGTAAGTACTATCATATATATTCCGGTTTTTTCGAAACTCAAAAAACTTTTTGGATTTTTTGGCGAATATATCCAAAAAATGCTTTTTTGATTTTTGGGGGTCAAAACTCAAAAGTTTCAAAAATTCGAGATAGCAGTTTTGTAGCCCTGTCAATTCTACACCTTTTATGTCTTGATCATTTTTCTGTATCTTCAAAGCTGTAGTCTTGACAGGTCTTCTCGCGAAGGTCTTTTTTCGGTCGAAAATGACAGAACATGACGTCACTCTGACGTCATTTGTGGCCAACCTATCATAGCCTCTGGAAAATTTTTTGGTCACAATGTGTAAAATTGATGCCCGGACGGGTCCTGAAAGTTTGGTGGCGATATCTCCAGCCGTTTAGGAGATATCGACCGAAAAGGACAGGGGGGGGCCGTTTCGGCCCCCCCCCCTACGGGGCGCGGGTTAATAACAGAAGACTGTTAACGGCCTCTGGAGAACCTGTTTTCACTTAAACTTATTCCAATCGTAGTTCCTAAGAATGTGTGGCGACGCTTTGGAAAGTTGAACTGGCGGAAAACAAAAGTTATCAGCAGAATGACTGTTTATAATGATCCAGCGAAATAATGACGAACCCACGAAATAATGAAATAACATCTAAAGAGGAAGTCTCATTCGTTCCCGTTTCAAATCAGACGACAGCGTCAGGGGTTGTCCCACGTGATCGACCACGTGAACCACGTGACCGAGTTGCCAATGATCAGCCATCAGGAGGCAGGTCTGTAAAATCCAGCCCTCTTCCGTCAGCGGCCGGCTGTTGCCACGCCGCTTTGAATGGCGGGCGACAAAGTTACCAGCTGGGTCCGTGTAATTAACGCCGGCAGCCGGCTCGGAGCGCAGGGACCGACGAGCCGCTCACGCTACCCCGGGCCGCGTGGGCATAGCGGCGGGAGCACTGGGCGGGCGGGCGGAGGGGCACACCGAGCCTGGTCAGTGTCACGGCAGATCGGATCTATAAATGCATCAGATTTAGACATCGTGCGCGGAGGCCTCTGACTTATCTCTCCTGGTTCCCAAGCATGTTTGGAAAAGTTAAAGAGTACTCGACAGAACCTTTCTACGCCTGTCGAATAAACGGGAGAACTCAGCTCTTGCCTAGTTAAACAAGCAGGCACTTACTGTTGCTACAATCAACATAACCGTTCTTCCACTTATGTGCGAAGTTTCGGGGCTGTGCTCACATTCAATCACCCTTAAACCCGCATGTTACGACGATTCAATTAAATATACCAAAATGACGGTCACACAGCGACTTACTAGAGCTATCACCGAGATCGTTCAGCTCACTGTGAGTGTGAAGGCAAGACAACTCTCGCACTTCCCGCACCTTTAGCGAGCATACAGGACTTTCACAATATCGCAGGACACCCATCCGATATAATACGCCCACGATTGTATAACAAGGCCGGCGATGGAGCTGTCATTTCAGTTCACCGAGCGGGGTGCCGCCGTGAGTTGTGCACTGTGTAGACACTCGGGTCGTGCAGCAAGGTGACGGGTAGTTTCAGGATAGTACACAGCGGGCCACTGTGTAGTCCATTGTGCAGATACTCGACTCGTGTGGGGAGGTGACGGCACTAGCGGAGGTAAGGAGGCTCGTATGGCGGGTATTGACGGCCCTGGTGAATAATTGATAAAGACGTGGTGCAAACGGCCGACGGACAAACATGATAAAAGAAGGATGGATGGTAAGGCGATTGGAGAGACCCTAACACACCGACTCTGACAGCTGAGGAGCGGATCCATCATTTAGTCAGTCAAACAACAACACCACCACGACGAGAAATAAGCACAAATACATAGTCCATGACACACACTTGCGGCTGGATAGCATTGCATAAGCAACCGGACTTCACACCAAACCCAGTCACGAATCGCCAAACGTTGTCCATCTCCATACTTCCAAGGCGCTCATTTCCACCTCAGACCGCCCTAAAGCCGTGGCCACACCGCGCGCGCCACAGGCCGCGCCGGACCTCAAGCGGGCACCACACGGCGTCATTGCACCACTGACCGATCTGTGTTCGGTGCCGACTGTTTCGCTCGCCAGCCGTCCGCGCTAAAAGGATGGCCCCGGCGCCCCAAGTCGAGTGGGTACTGCGGTGGAGCGTCGAGGCCGGCACAGACGGGCTAACGGGCCACTCGGCTCAGCCGGCTGTTTGGAAGTAATGAACTGGGCCGGCCGGACCGGCCCAACTGCAGCTGTTCATGGGCCCGGCGCCCGCCCGGGATTACACAGGGGCAGTAACGGACGGCGCTGGCGCTCCCGCCACCTGCAGTGGCACTTATCTAATGCGCTGCCCACCCGGCGAGATATTTTGGACCAGGATTTTCAGGGTAACACAGCTCTCACAAGTAAGTAGGCTACAGCTAAACATACGTACCGAGGTCTCCAGGGTAAAGTCATTATCACGAGTAAAGAGTAAATGGAAGCTAAATATACACCAGTGAGGCAGCGTAGGTGTACACAGCATACGCAGTGCTTTGACAATAAAAAATACATGTGATTTGTGAATAATTCAAAAAGAAAAGATGCGGGGGCAGAGAGGTGTGACTAACATGTGAGGCCGTTCATATCTGACTATACCCGCGCGGCAGACCCGCCTTACGATTGCATGGAACATTCACAGACTGTATGTCCGAGCACCACACTCATACCCTGTGACCTGAGGCCGACCCGATCCCGACAGAAGCAGTGATCGTAAACAACAGCCACAAAGACCCACCGACTAGCGGCAGATATCCGCTGGGGTCAGTGGGATCATCTCTACAATGCCGCGGAGCAGACAGGGCAGCATCATGAGGTGTTTCCAATGCAGGAGCAGCCTCGGTAATACAGAGCCGAGGGGTTTCCACTGAATCCAGACTGCAGAATTTCCACCGTCGCTGACACATGTAATCAGGAGATGGATCACCAATAGCAGACACCCAATTGGGGGCGAAGAGAGGACTACAAAGACGCTCTCAATTCAGTCCGGCCGCAGAGAGATGAATGTTAACACACCATAGCGCCGCCCTGACGACCATCGAATTCAACTGGCACAGGCGCTGGGCCGGTCAATTTGCAGGCATTGTGGGACGGTCGGCGGAGACGGGGTGCCACCGGTGGCGCTGCCCGGGTCGGTCCCAGAGTCCGGTCAGGCGGCGGCGTCCGCTCGCCGCTGGAAAGGTCAGCCGTCCCGGCCGCCGTGCCGGCGCGCCGTCTGTGATCTGGCCGGGCCCAGATAACACGCGTCTGGCGGCCGCCCGGCCGGCGATCCACTGATTTGATTCAGCCCCCGGCGTTCAGATGTCCGAGTGGGCGGAATGGGCAGCGGCGGGGGATCGAACGGGGGTCGGATCGGCCAGCGGGACCCGGGCAGTCTACACTCTACCTCCACCAGCGCCTGGTCAAAGACCTTCCCACGGGTACATCTGTTCACATACAAAACCAGCTGCCGGTCTGTCCGTCACGCTAGCCGCTTGGCTTATTTCTACCTAAGCAAACTTACAAGTTTGGGTTGTCACTCACTTGCTTTTTATATTGTATTTAAGTATCAAAGACAACAGCAAGCAATTGCCATCTATGACGTGCTCGTACATACATTACAATACTCGAATTGCTTTGGTAACGACATAACAATGTCATCTACGACCAATGTCATCGAAGACCGTCATGCAGTAACAATCGGCAATTGGCATAATCATCGAGCGTAGCGACACATCTTATCGGAAATCACTCCATGAAAATGAGGGAACAAAGCAAATACTTGCATCATCCTTACTTATATCATTTACATGCAATTACTCGTGGGTTATTGGTCAGGCCCGGATCATTTTAAACACTTAAAGACTGTCAATTCATCATTACACGCCTAAGTGGCTTTTGAATATGCCGATGATGGACAATCAAACAAGGTTTTGCCTAATAGCATAGCGTTTCTGTCGTTGACGATTCAACCCGCATATATCAGAATTCGTCGAAATGGGTTCTCGCTTATCATTCTCAGTAACCAGAAACAAGACAATGATGAATGGACAGTGGACATTGCTGTGTTTTGGACCGTCTTATTTTGATAATAGTGTCCGTACATAACAAAGGCCTCGCACCAATGATTTGGCATCCTGACAGTGACCACCAACGGTACCAAGCTCACAATGTAGGTAGTTTTCCGGCATACCAATGCTCGGGTCATCACGGGGATCCACAGACAGTCACGAACTTAACTTTTTCAGTCACGATAACAAACCATGAAAAACTATTTCCGCCCGAACTCATAACATATCGACTTTCGAGTCGTATATCTGAGAGCTACTTCATACTTTGTCCTACAAAGTGCCTGTAGCATGTAAGCAACAGAGATGAAACGCCAAAAAACGCCAATAATTGACATTACTTTCCACAATCGATAATGGAAAGGTGTGCACTTTGTTCGCCTAAATCCGGCTGCGATCGGTAGCAAAGCCCCAGCTTAGCGTCTTGAGCCCTTCACCAGAAACCAATTCAACAACACCGTGCGTGTGAGCGCCGCGCCAAGGAGAGGTCAAATACTTCTTCCTCTAGGGACCGAACTCAAAGAACTTGTGAAAGGTCAGACCTGTTGCCTCTAAGGATGACGCTCATCTCCCTTCAGTCCAGCGGTGCCACTTACATCATACACTCGACCATCCACTACACAGCTGCCCGGTAGTCACGGCACACGGGACGGCAGCGCTAAATGGTATGAGGCGGCTGTGTCAATTGACACCTGACTGTGTGTCACGCTCCAACACGCACATTGACACGAGGTCATCAGCTGGATGGCGAGCCATCTCTGTTACCTAGTCGCTGTCCGTGTCACCATTGGGTGGCACTGGAGCGGGCAGATTGGAGGAGGCAGTCGGAACGAGCCGGGCACGTGCTTACATAACGGCAGAGCCGGAGCCGGAGACAGAAACAGTGATCCAGAGAGACAGGTCTCTTCCTGTTCGGCACTGGGAGTCGCAGCCACGGATTGATGAACCCGTGATATATTCAAGCCACGAGGGCAGATATTGACCGAAAAACTATACCGCATTTTAATCACCCGGCCGACTTGTGGCTTCACTGGCAGCATCCCATCCGCCTTCAGCGCTAATTGACAGATAATCAGTCATGCCTGCCCTGTCGCTGCCTGACACGAGCCCTGACTGCCCCATATGTATGCACAGGGTCGTGCGCGCGGCCGCACGGCGTGCCTCGTTGGCATTCCGTGTCAGCACGGCTGAGGCCAGCCCGGTAATGGTAGGCGTCTCCGGGGGACCCGGCGACGGCCGCGCCGCAAAACAGCGGCACCTGCGGGTCTCTGCCGCCACAGGCACGGGCAGAGGTGACATAAATTAGCGCCCCCGATCCCGCTGTACGCTGAGCTGAGCGGAAACTGAGGATAACAGCATTCCGCGGGCCTCCTGCACCGCCAGTGTGGGTACAGGTGACGGAACACAGCGCCCAGTGGGTCCTCACTGAACCAGGCCGCTGAGACGAGAAGCAGTTGAAGGGAACAGCCGCCAGCGGGCCCGCCGCCGGCCCCGGTCTCAGGGACAGGCGGTAAATATCGCCCGCCGGGCCTGCCGCTGCTGCCTCCGAGCAATGGGGCGGGAGGCGAAGTGGAAATATTATTAAATATTTAACATTTTGTGCTTCAGGCTGGCGCACGGCTTCTTGGATAGCTGGTATGGTAAGGTTCTTAGCTTTTACGAATCATGTATCTTTCGTTGTCAGTGGTTTACGCATATAAATATATGCATGCATGTAGTAACCCGAACGGGCTCTGATTCACGAATAGAATGGGAGCCTTTCACGAATCCTTCCTTTTCATCTACGAAACTTTCAGAAGCCTTGAACCTTAATACTTCGATGCCTACCTGTTTAGGCAGTTCTAAAGTAACTCTCTAGAAGCTTTCATTTGACATCCGGGATACGCGATTGTATGTGAATTAAGAAGTTGATAAAACCATAATGGAAGCACCTACCTCAGGTCCTTCCCTTGAGACAAGACGATATTACCGGCTTATGTGGCAAAACGTCGAAGTAAGAGCCACGCATTGTCAAAATGCAGTTGTTGACGAAAACTACGTAGTTACTTTGCTTCGACTTCATTGAAATATGACATGTCAACTGTCATTCGAACATGTGGCTGGGTTGGAGGCTGAGCGAAATATATGATGATGTTGCAAATACAAGTCCAAATGTTTGCGATAAATTGAGCAGCCTCGGGCTGTAAACAGATATCTTTTAGGATAATCAAATCCGACTCCAAATTCCAGAGTTAGCAATGTCGTTATCGCGTAGAAGGAACCTGGCTGGGCCAGCTGCGCATTCTACGTAGTACGCGCATTAGCCGGGATTGGTGCGTTGAACGGAAGCACACGCCCTACCCTAGTTTGCGCTATTCCCGATCTTATCTACCCTGGCCCGCCAACCAAATTTATCCCTGCACGGTCGCATGTCAAGTCTCTGTAACCGCCGTGCTCAGTACATAGCCAGTAGGTACATCAGTCATTCCGCGAACCCCCTCCACCCTCCCGCCGATCGCACTCACCCGCCCTGCGTGGCCGAGGAGATGGACAGCGTGAAGATGCTGTTGGTGTAGCCGTCACAGTTGCAGTTGTCCACGTAGCGGCCGCCGTTACCGGAGGCCCAGACGAAGATGGAGCCCTTGCCGCCGCGGCCCTGCGGGGGACGCAGAGGGGACGTTACTGAAGGCTCGGTCCAATAAATCCAGAAGGAGAGAAAGTTACGCCGGATAGGATAGGTGGGAGTAGGCCGGGTCGGACGCACGCCGCTCAGATTGGGACCAGTACAGCGGTGGTAAGGTCAGAGTGCGCTGTGGTCGCAGAAATCCTAGCTGTATTGGACGACGTCGACAGACACATGCTTTATTCTGGGCCGATAGTGATCGCATCTAGAAACCTGTGCTGGACAGTGTCATCGCACGACTCCAGGATGGGATAAATAACCCTGGGAACTCAAGGTAGATTTCTATATTTGTTTTCTCGGTACATTCATATTTGTCATGTCAATCTACGCCCCCTGTATTTATTTCTAAAACATAGGCTAGGAGCTTCAAACCTTAGGCAAAAGTTTTATGGCGAATACGCAATATGACGCAATATATTGCGTGGGGAATAGCCCAGCTGCAGTTTAAGTACACAATATTATAGTACATTTTTGCCACCGACGCATGTTAAAAAAGTTCAGTTAAATTTTTGTATAAAGGTGGCCTGCTGAAAGCCAGAAGCGCGAGAGACTGTTAATTTCAGTCGACGGCAAAACTCGGAAACGCCTATCAAAACCAATGCATAAAAACACGGCGGTTAATTTCATTATACGGCAGTTTTCTTCTCTTCAAAAGCTCCCTGTTGAACAATGCGTTCGATGACTGAAACCTCAATAAAAATCCGTTCATGGAAGCTTGTAGCTTGGAATAAAGTAAATTGCGAAACAGGTGGACAAGTGAATGTTGCAAGAACACAGCCTTAATATGATGACTTCGACTTATCTAATTTATTTCAAAGAGATGGATTAGCAGGTTACGCATAAATTTAGAAGGCAGATTTCGAGGCATATGTAGTTCTCAAGAGCCAGTAAAAGAGCCATTGACGCTGACCCTTACAAAACGGGAAGAACAGCACTGCCAGGAGCCAGTGTTCGTAGTAAGATCGACGCTTGTTATCCTACCTTCATGGATATTGGATGTCAAAATATAAGAAAGAGGAGAGAACGCAACTACATTTTCCCACTAATGAAGACAAAACATGTTTCCGCAACGCCTACTCCTCACTCGCAATTACTTCATAGCATGAATGTCTAATAAAAGTAACAGACGCGTCTCGCATGTTTACCAGGAAATATCTGAGAAATCGGGGATGAATTTCAAGCAAAATACGACGTGGTAGGCAATGCACAATTTGTATAGGCATAGTGAGACCAAGTGGTAGATTAATTTCATTATTCGCCCATCGTGTGTTAAAGGCCATTGGCAATAATTTTCATTATACGCCCAAAGATTTACCCATTTGCTGCCCCCACCCCATCTTCCGTGTCCCTCCTTAATGTCGAAGCCCAAAAGCGAACTCTTTCTCAGAGATGCGTTGGTGCTCGGTGCCAAAAATTTACTATAATAAATTTAATTGCCCGGTCCGAATACTATACCAACCATGATACGGTCGCTTTCCCTCAAGGGTGTTTTCATTGAATGTGCTCGCAGGCTCGCACATTCAATGCGAAAATTGCACTCATTTCATTCGTGCAATTTTCGAAAATAGCATCCTCACTCCGTTCGGACGCTATTTTCGATGAAATAATGCCCTCACTTCGTTCGGACATTATTTTAAAACACCCTTGGGAAAGCGACCGAATAATGTCTGGTATAGTGTTCGGACCCGGCAATTAAATATATATTATACCGATACATTAAAGTTACTCCCAGCATCAAGGATGCTTTTCTAGCATACTCGTGGAAACTTGTCAAAACTCCAGTCGCTGAAGGATCTAAATCTATAAAAAGTTTCAGCATCCTGTTAGCTGTTAAATTGTAAGCAAACATTGTCAAAATACCAATACTGTAGAGGAAGGGTGTGCACATACACACAGGTTCCACTTTTCAGCCTTACGAGTAACGAACGAAACTTGAGAGAGCTATATGAATGGAGGGCAAGCAGGACAAACGATTCGCATGCCAGAGAACAAGAAAGCCACGAATAGACCACATCAAGCCGGGATACCGAGCATGCGGGATGGTGAGCTCGTTAGCGCTCAAGCTCGCAGATAGGCGGGTGCGCCTTCGGTTCACTAGAAGCCGGCATGAGAGGCTAGTCAGTGCGGCATCAGAGGCGCCCTGCGCCATCTTATCGAGCTCAGTGGCGCCACCTGCTACACCCTCCCTCCCACACACCAGGGAGGTTATCCGGACCGCCTCCCGGGGAGTGGGGAGCGCCTCCCGGCAGCGCTACCTTCAGCACGCCCTCGATGAAGGCGCGCCGTGCCAGCGGGCCGGGCCCGTCCACCGTCTTGCCGTCGTCCTCGGGCCCCCAGCTGGCACTGTAGACGTCGATGTAGTTCCTGCGGTAGCTGAGCGCCTTGGCCTCCACGTAGTCGTTCACCCCGCCGTCCAGCATGCGCACTCCTGAGCCGCGGGGGGAGGCGGTGGACGGAGTCGGTGAGGCGAGACCAGACCATAGCCGAGGACAGACCAGACAGACCACACCGGGAGGGACCGGACCACGGACCAGATCGGGACGGACAGACCAGACCAGACCAGACCAAATGAACATCAAGGAAGGGTAAGAAATTATAGCATATAGACCACGGACCAGAAGAACAATGCACCAGGGTACAGAACAGACCCAAAGACGGAGACACCGTGTACCCGCATGGTGACAGAGAAAAATATATGGACGGACTGAAGGGTAACAAAGATACAGCCACGTAACGGACGATCAGAACCGGGGACCAGAGACGCCGCGCCCGCAATAAGCAGTGCAGTGCGAGGGAGAAACTTTAGACAGAAACGGGATTCGGCACTTCGATGTGAGGTGGTTCAGAAATAAGATACCCGGGCCCGCCAATCACATTCGGTGTTAACAATGATAAGAAGACATACCCAAAACCAGGCTGTCCAGATAGAATATACATAATATACTTAATGGCCATTGACGTCGAAGTAGCTAATTACACTAAACTGCTGCTGCCTTTGATCCCTCTCGGTCATTTTACCAAAGTCAACGCTAATCTCAAATCTAAATCAACTTTGGCCACCCCAATAGTCTCAATTCACAGTCAGAGTCGCCCCAGGACACGTCCAGCGACCACCGCGGAGCCATCCCGGATCTAATGACATCAGTGTGACGTCACCGAGTCCGTCCGCCGCCGTCGGTACTAGTGATATAAATTACAGAAAATCGGAATACCGATACCAAACCAAATTCTAATAAAAAACATGTGAAAATACCAAAAAAAAACCAACTTGAGAATACGAGGAAAATACCAACTTTTTACCAAATTGTCAGCCTCATATACATTAGTCAGGGTTCGTAATACCAACAAAATACCAAAAGCATTAGAACTGAAATACCAAATTACCTATTTGGCATCGGTTTGGTATCGGTATACCAAGAAGTTGGTATCCGATTGACATCTCTAGTCGGCACCGGGTCGGTCAGATACGAAGCTGCACCAGACAGCTCCGCGCAAGGGTGACTTTCCCAGCGGTTCGAGACCCAACGGGCAACGGCTCAGACATGGCCGGACGGCCTTGGGCGGTACGGCGCCCACCGCGGTGAGAGAGAAGTGACTGGGAGAGCGGGAGGGGGTGGCTGGGAGAGCGGGAAGGGTAACTGGGAGACAGGGTGGTTGAGAGAGAGGATGGGTGAGTGGGAGAGAGGAGGAGTGGCTGGGAGAGAGGAGGGATGACTGGGAGAGCGGGAGCTGGGAGAGCGGGAGAGGTAGCTGGGAGAGGGGGTGGTTGTAACCGTACAGGATGTTTGCGGTGATATAAATCCCAACCAGCTGCCTCGGACCCTGGCGTCCCTATCAGATGGTGTGACTGACGGGAAGCTGAACAGTGAACAGTTCGGTATCTAGAAGCACGGGCCTCGCCGCTGTCGTCCCCCGCAATTTTTTCCCAACGCGTCTGATAGGCACTCCACGCCAAGATTACTTTATTACTCCTTTACCGAGAGTACCAATGTTTTCACACGTCGCGAAGCTCAAATCTGGGGGATCCTTTCACCCATTGACCCCATTCTCATTCAAAACCCACAAACACTTATAGTTTAAACCTAAGTCTCCGACTTTAAACAATACGGCGAAACTCAATCAACATCAACTCACATTTCCTTCTCAGAGCTCCCAGGACACCCAACAACAACCACACGACAAAAGCCTCTCCACCCCAGTCACGCCCGTAACGTCTATCAGTCCCCCCCCCCCCCACTGACGCAGCCGCGTCTCTAACCTCCGATGCTAGCGTTGGGCGCCACTCCGACGCCGCAGTACTGGTTGCCGGCGATGGCGGCCACCTCGCCGGCGCAGCGCGTGCCGTGCCGGTTGAAGCCGTCGTCGCGCGGTGTCGGGTCGTCGTCGTCGTCGTTGATGTCGAGGGACGCCCTGCCGTCCTGTGGGGGTGGGGGGGGGGAGGGGTCAGCCGGGCGGTCGAGCGACCACTGTCCGGTCAATAAGGAGACGCGGGATGTGGCACATATGATGAAATCGGAAAACATGTCTGCGGTTGGTTGTGTGTTGTTGACGCAAAGTCGAGAACGAGCAATCTGCGGTGTGCTTCAGTAGACTCCACAGCCAGCTGACATACGTCATGGCACGGAATCTACCGATCTACCTGCTTGGAGACACCAACTTTGACGTCACCCGTCACGAGAAGCCAGGAGTGACGTCATACCTCCAGCAGTTGGACGACCTGTCACTGAAGCAGCTCATAGTCGAACCAACACATCCTGGACTAAACCCTTCACTCATCGACCACTTCATCACCAACAAGCCTGAAGATACGTCAAACGTCAGAGTGGTCCCCTGCAACATCAGTGACCACGACCTCATCGCTGCGTCTGTCTCCGTCACCAAAGCGCGGCACGCGGTCAGGACCATCGCCGTCCGATCCACCAGACACGTCAACGTCGACGCCACTCTCGACTTCCTTCAAGCTGACTGGGCTCAACTGGACGGCTCCAACAACACTACCGATAAGTGGGCCAGCTTCTACAACATATGGGATCCCATCATCGATAGGCATATGCCCATGAGGACAATCCCATTGAAGCACCGGCCATATCCGTGGTTGCAGGATGAAGACGTCCAGGAAGCAATGACAGCCAGAGACCAGGCGCGCGTCGACAGAGAGTGCACGCCGTGTGACGTCACGGAACGGGAGTTCCGTGAGCGCCGGAACGCCGTCAAAGTAGTGCTGAACAGAGCCTGCTCATCTTACTTCAAGACCTCTTTCAAGCACTCCAGATCCCGGACATGGCGTGACATCCGCCAGTTCATGGTGTCGTCGAAGAAGACAGGGCACAGTGTCGACAGTCCGATGGGCCGCAGCTCCGAGTGGATGGAGCGGCTCAACAGCTACTTCACGTCCGTCGGCCCTGACGTGGCGCGCTCGCTGGCGGCGGCTGACACCGGAGAGCCGCTGCCGCCGCGCCCACCGCGCGTGTGCAGTGGGGCGTTTGCACCGCAGCCGGCCACGCTCCCCGAACTGTCCACGGCGCTGGGGCGCATGGGAACATCTCGTGCATGCGGTGCAGACGGCATCACCATCGAGATGCTGAAGCTGACGTTCCCTGTCGTGGGTCCCCATCTCCTGCGTGTCGTCAACTCATGCATTGTTAACCGTGACATGCCTCGGGAATGGAAAGCGGCGACTGTCACTCCCCTCTTCAAGGGCGGTGACAAGAGTGATCCCAGCAACTATCGACCGATTTCCATTTTACCTGTAGTTGCTAAACTGTGTGAACGAGTGATATGTACCCAGCTGATGACGTATCTATCGAGTCATTGCATTTTGTGCCCGCAGCAGTATGGTTTCCGTCCCGGTCTGTCCACGGAGGCGGCTGTGCTGGACGCTGTCACATACGCCACTGAGAACATCGACCGAGGACAAGTGACGTCACTAGTAACAGCAGACACGTCGAAGGCGTTTGACAGCGTCGAGCACGGCCGTCTCCTGGACAAGCTGGGTTGGTATGGTATCCAACCTGACTGGTTTGCTGACTGGCTTCAGGGGCGGACTCAGGTCATCAGAGGGGGGTCGACACGTGCCTATGACGTCACGCATGGTGTGATCCAGGGATCCATTTTGGGACCTGTTCTATTTTTACTTTTTACGAACGACCTGACCGCACACATGCCCTACGGCAAAGTGATTTTGTACGCAGATGACGCCCAATTCCTGGACACAGAACTGCCTTCAAACAGTGACATTCTTAAAAATCGAGTCGAACGTAACCTCTCCACTGCATTTAAGTGGTTCACTCAGAACAGACTGAGGATAAATCCATCCAAAACGGAAATGGTTATTATTAAATCGAAGCGGAAAATCTTTGAGAAAAATTTCTCAGTTAAATTTGGAACAGATACGATTCTCCCAGCTCAAAGTGTCAAGGTTCTGGGCGTCATCATTGATCGGCATCTGACGTGGGAAAAACATGTATCAGCAGCTGTGCAGCGCTGCTACGCTGTGTTGATAGGCCTGGCCAGGATGCGTCACCGACTACCAGAGGATACCAAGCGCCTGCTCGTTGAAGCGCTAGTCCTTCCACATGTGCGCTATTGTATCAGTGTTTGGGGTAGCTGCACGGTAGAGCAGAAGAAGCGGATCCAGAAGGCTGTGAACTTCGGTGCTAGGATTGTAACTGGACTGGGCCGCCGCGAACATGTTACACCGGTGCTGCAGCAGCTCGGATGGGGAAAGCTGGATGATATGCTGAAGGATCATGATATCTCGATTGTAAAACGACTACTCACTGCGTCAGACGCATCGGAGATCCTGAGAGCGAAGCTCGTGCATCGCTCTGAGATATCCGGCCAGAGTACCCGAGCAGCAGCGAGTGGCCAGCTGCAGTTGCCACGCGTCAAAACAGAGATGGCGCGACGCAGTTTTCTTTTTAGAGCAGTTGCTGCATGGAACAGTGTTCTGAAGTGATAGGTCTGTCCTCGTGCCTTTTATTTTTTATCTATATAGTATCTACCTACATGTATGCATTTTAGTGGTTCTTATTTTCTTTAAGGATTTCTATCTATTTTGTAGCCATTGACATATTTTACCATCAGCTTGTATGCTGATGTCATGCACCTATTTCATTGCCTTCTATATTTCCACTTTTATAGGGTGTTCATTTTTAGAGTAGCCACAGTTTAGCACTACTGTGCAATTTTAACATTGTATGTTTGATAGATAGGTGTCTGGCGTTGGTTTGTCTGTGCAATGTCTGTCAAAAGTGTTTTGCATTTATGTATTGACGTGGATACCATAAAATCCACTTTGTGGAGGATCCTAATACATCATCTATCTATCTATCTATCTATCTATCTAACATTGATCCACTCCATACGTCACTGAACAGCGTAGTGGCATATGGTCAAACTGGGAAATATTATGATAATGCAAAACTACGCAATTAGTTGTGCGCAGTAGGCCCCAGTCCATCTCCTCCCATCCACCCGCTGTGTTCTGTATGCACGTTCCAAACGACCTCCTACCGACCCACACGGCCACATCCCGTTCCACAGACTGACTGCCCGGAGCAGTCGGTGAGCCACCCCCCGTGACCCAGTATTGTCCAGCTGATTGGATTTCACTGTCGGCTGTACCCCCTCCCCGCACCGCAGTAAAACCCTGCACAATCACAGTAGGTCGCCAAGGGCAGGCTAGTCTGATACCTACTTCAATCCAATTAACAGTCGAGTTACATCACCCCTCACAGCATAAATACACAGGATGATGACATCTAATCACAACTACATCCTATTCAGAACATTCTGACAAATTTATGGCAATTACAGCTCTGTGGCCTGTAAACCACACCACCCGAAACTCTGACATCTCTGTGAGCTCTACACGTCTGGCTGCCTGTCGCTGGCGGCCAGAGGGCGGTTGGAGGGACTGCTGCTTAGTAGTGGTTGTAGAAGCTAGTCACATCGACATTCCACCCTCGACGCCGGGAGTGAAGAGCAGTTTTTGCATCGTTTCCCTTGGGACTGAACTCACAGTGAACTCGCGGTACAAGTTTGTGATTGCAGCTGAAATCAATGCAGCTTCAGTAAAAACGTAAAAAAGTGCACTGCAAACGTACGATTGCTCCCAGTTAAGGCATCATGTGATGAGAAAGCTGCCATATAAGTAACGCTAGACCGTATTCGTTGCTCAGAGCGGTCTGCAGCCGCGGCGACTCACGTAGTTTGCGGCCAGGTCCGGGTGGTTGGGCTGGATGCCGTCGTCCAGGATGGAGACGACCACGCCCTGGCCGCGGTAGCCCTGCTGCCAGGCGGGCAGCACGTTCATGTCGCTGCCGTCCCGGGCGCCGCCGTTCTGACGGCACAGAACAGACACACCTCGGTCAGGGAAGAGATACGGCGGTCAGGGGAGATGAAGCGGTCAGGAGGAGATGCAGCGCGGTCGGAGGAGAAATAGAGCGGTCAGATAAAAGATAGATACAATTAGAAGATGAGGAAGAGATGCTCAATGATTGCTGGCAAGATATAAAAAAATTGTCCATCAAAAGCATAGATGTGCGATGGGTAACGATTAGAACTGCAAAGCATTAGTAACACCAGACCACAGCAGTGTTTGGAACGCCACCCCGGCTGCACTAACCAGGTACCACTGTTCCTTGAACAGCGGGTCGGGCCAGTAGTCGGCCGCCGTGCTGCGCCGGAACTCCGTCTGAGGCGGCGGCTCCTGCGGCGCCGGCGGAGGGTCCTCCTTCAGGGTGGCGCGCCGCAGCGGCCCGGCAGCGGACGGCCCCGAGTCTGAGATTTCGTTCAGCAGCTCCTCAGTCAGCCCGCCGCTGTCACCGGCGCCGTCCCGCTTCCGGCGCGTTTTGTAGTACTGCTGATCCGCCCATAGTATCTGAGCAAATATGAGGGGATGAGGGTCACTGCCAGTGCGATCTGTCACCAACGGGAATATTGCACACTGTACGGTCATTTCAGCGGCTCCGATACAGCTCCACGCGACATACGATGAGTAAACAAAACCGGCAGTAAAACGCGCTTAGATGACGGCAAAAGAGTCAGCTGCATTACAGCAGCCCAGTGTGGGAAGCAGCGACTGCTAACCTTCTACGTTAGGGCAGCAGCTAGCCACCACTCCACTATAAAACGCAAGACGAATCTTAGAACACAGGGGAAGCAATCCTTGGTGATGTATGCTGCAGAAGAACGACGGGGGAAAGGCAGTGTATAATAATGCACTCATCTCACTGCCAGTCTTACGTCTAGCCTTGTGCATTCATCCGTCTCAATAGTCTAGCCTCATTTAATTCGTCCATAAACCGTTATATCCTGCTTACTCTCCCCGCCTCCGACCGTGGCCCATTCCAGACTCACCCCTCCCAGGCTCCTCACCCCTCTCCCTCTGCTCCTCCCCGCTCCCTGCACCACACCGGAGCCACTCTCCCCTGGCTCTCCTCACCTCGTCTGTCTCCCGGAGCCGGTCGGTGTGGTGCTGGGAGTGCTGTGTGGAGCGTTTGTGCACCGTGTGACACTCAAACAGGTAGTGGTCCGTCAGGTCGCCGATCTGAGAAATAGAGGGCAGGAAGAGAGGGGAAGTCACAACACGGTCAAGGTCACGGCTAGGGAGTACCACGACTCCGGCGTAGTTGATTGAAGGCTCACTAAGTTGACCATGACTAGGGCTGAAGGTTAGGCTGAAGTTGACTGAAACGGTAACACGCTGCAGAGTCTGCGCTAGACGGACAGACACGAGCAGCCTTTGTCGAACAACGTCCCGTGCTAATAATATTCATGCCAGAGTATTGCCTTGCAAGTAATAAGCCAGCGATGAAATTTTATGGTATTGGCAATCGCAAAAGTCACGCAAGTTAGGTGTAATGACGGGGTCCTTTGCAACTGGCATTTGTATGCAGCTAGCGGTTCTCGAAGTGAGCCCCACGAGGAAAATTCCCGCATGTCAGCAGGTAGCGACTCTAATCAATAAATCAGTTGTAACGCAACTTGCATTACAAACCATATAGAGTGTAACGATCTGCTGCGATCGTCGGTCATCAAAATGACACCGTGCTTAGTAAGAACAAAACAAAGATATTGCAATCGCACTAAACACTAAAAACACTGTTTTCAAGCAGCCTAACAAGGTATGATTCCGTACTAAGCTGCCAGCGCCACAGCTGGCCTAGGAAAGTTGCTCCCAGAGGCCAAATGGCTCGAGTGACGGGATAAAATTCTTGAGCGGGGCTGCAGAGCGGCAGAAAAGGCAGAGTCGGAACTCTCCAGATCACCGCCGTATCAGATTTCTCGGAATGCCAGTCCGACTGGAAATCCAGGGGCACAACGAACTCCACAGAGAGGCCGCGTGAGGCGAGCACGGGGGGTCATTGTGTTTGGTTAAATATACAGTATACACAGTAGTTATCATTACCATTTCCGCGTAGACTTAATCCACTGATTTAACTAATACATTACCTATCTAGAGTTCCCCCGTCCCGTCCGTTTCGTACCGAGTCGACCAGGGAGCAGCCGTGTTTGGCGGCGGCCCGTGCGGCGCGCTCCCGACCGCCGGCCACCACCACGGCGAATTGGTTGGTGTACTCCACGGCGGTCACGGCCGCCACGCCCGCCAGCACGACCAGCACGGCCCAGCCGCCGCCGCCGCCGCCGCGCATCGCTACGTCTGAAAAGACACCGGTGGGTTAGGAGGGCTGACGTCTAGAATGAGGTGAATTAAGTGTTGTGTTAGGTGAACTGCAAAATGCACATTGGTTAACAGGAGTCATGCCGAGTTAAGCTGATTTGAAAATGAGCAAACGTGTCAATCGTTTCTGGTTGCACCAGAAAGGAGTTACAGCCGATAAAACTGAAAAAACCGCAATATGTTTGCCCAGCCACTTGTATTCCGATACAAATATGTAGGATACTGACTGGCCTGACGGATAAATTCACACCAGTTTGTTAAAAAAAAAAAAATACTGGACCAAAGAATCAGGACATATCGACCCAACGATCACAACGCTTTTAATTCCTCACCACCCCATTACCCCAGTCTCAGTGTACGAAATCGGGGACTACCGGCTCCGCCACCAACAGCGTCAACAATCACAATAACAACCGCGTCATCGAGCGCGTCACCGTCGTCATCACCGCGGTATAAACAGGGGCTGCAGCGCGGCGCACGCGGCCACTCCCCGTCTGATGACACCCGACCCTCCACAGACGCACAGACTGGCGGGCGGCACGGCGGAGACTGCGCACCCGAAAAAGCCGTGTTTATGCTGAACTCTGACCACCGCTCGTCATGGCTTCATCGCCCCAAACCTGCCACGTCATGGAACAGCCTACTGACTGAGGAGTATGCGATTGGTCAATGGTCACCGATTCGCGATCGGACTGCTCCGAACTGGTCAGAGGCGGTGGGTGTATTTTTAGTAGCGTAAGGCCACTGGAGCGTGAGGTCAGTGGCAGCGTTCGGTCCGCTGAAACTGACAGGTGTAAATGGAAGCCAGGGGAGGTTCCAAAAAGCCGCTTATCTTTAGAAGAAATAATTGAGCAACGACACTAATAACCACCAAGGCCATCTAGGAGCGTGAGGCATATGGACAGATTACGAGAATAAAGCTATAGCCGAGAGCCAGCCGACATCCCAGGGGACTGTTCCACAGACTTCATAGAGGAGCTACAAGGTAAGATTTGAGCAGGACATTCCCTCGCTGATGGTCAGCGGTGACTGATAGCCTGACAGAGCCATAAGGAGAGGGAGAGAGAGGGAGAAGTCGAGAGCTGTCCGGCTATGGGCCGCAGCCTGTCCGCGGCTTTAGCTCGCTCTCGCCGGCAGCGCACCGAGCAGCGACGGGCGGGGGCGGGGGCGGCGCCTGGTGACCCGCCGGTCATCGATCGGCCTCTGGGAGCTGGTCACCAGCCGGCAGGTCACACCAGACACCGAGGTAGTATGTAGCTGAGCACCCCGCACACCGACCCGACTGGGGCTATGTGTGTATGGGGGGGGGGGGGGGCTGCGAAGGCAGCACGCAGCAATCACCGCAGACCTGGACGGACTCGTGGGAACGACTGTGCGCGGTAGCACACAGTAGCATACAGCAGACACCCTGGTTTCGGACGGACCACGTATGAAGGTCTGTACCTACAATAGCACGCGGTATACCTATCACAGCGGGCCACCACGCCGTGCTGCCGTGACCAGTGGCTGTGGGACCGACACGCCGTGGGGCACGACACAGAGACCACCGAAGGCTCTCCACTGGGGCAGCGCAGCGGCCACAACACGCCGTGGGGCACGACACAGAGACCACCGGAGGTACTCCACTGGGGCAGCACAGCGGCCACAACACGCCGTGGGGTACGACACAGAGACCACCGGAGGCACTCCACTGGGGCAGCGCAGCGGCCGGGGGCACTCTACTGGGGCCAGAGGGGCGGTCGGCGGCAGTACACACTCAATACAGACTGTGGCACACCATTAGGAGGAAATGGGCCCCAGCCCGGCGGAGATTGCGCAGTTAGGCGTCCCTCCTAACCGCCCCCTCCCCGCGAACCCGACTGTACCAGGATCCGCACTGGTCTGCCGCTAACACGTCAGTGGGATGGTGTATTTTCGCTCTATCAACATGCCAATCAGCTTTACAATCAACACAATGAGGTAGGTCGCTGAACTTACCAGAGGCCCAATTACATACTTTCCTATTAAATGACATATGATTCACGATGTCCCATCAAGCCGTAACGAGGCATGAATTCGACTTTTTAGACGGAGCGAACCTTGACAAGATAGCGCCGCATTCCCCACTGTCCGTTTTTCCCTCCCCCCCCCCCCCCTCTTCTCCGTCCCTGCTCTACAGCCTACGGCGCCAGTCGGTCGCCCCGTCCGAACATCCCAGCCCAATTAATCGCCGCCACCGCCCGAGGACTGCTAAATGGAAACGTCGCCTCCGCGTGAGTCCGGCCTTCCAGCCCGTCACGCTCATTTTACCGGGGGAACACATGGAGCGGAAAAGCGGAAGCTGTTCCGCACAAAAAGATTATGAAGTGCAGTCCACAGAAAACTTAAAAAAAGACCCAGAGAGGACAGCAGGCCGCCGAACAAGCAGAGTACGTCACATATATGATGTCAAGAGTCCGCAAATTCTAAGAAACAAGCGTCAGTTCATGCATTGTCCGAGAAATGACAACTGGCAACGGGCTCCGCACTAAAAGCTTCCTTTGTTGAACGCTTCGAAGGTCAGGCGCATATGCACTTTTGGTCGCTGCCACATTCGACCGAGCAACGCCACCAATTGAACCCAGGGTGGTCGGCCACTTTTCGGCAGAGACATCAGCCACACCCATCGAGCCCAGGGCTTCGAGTGAACGTCTGGCGTCGGTGAACTATTCAGCAGCGGTCGGAGCCGAGCCAGTCAGTGACGGACCGACAGGTACCCGGGACATCACCGTTTCTCAAACGTCCGATTGCTGACCACAAATGTAAAAAAGAGGCCCCTCACTGGTTCCAAACGGATCCAGGGTGTTCTATTCTATATGCAAATATGCAACAAATATGCAATCTGACACAACGTATTTTTTTTTTCTACGAAAATAAAAATGTGAAGCATACAAATACGTATTCAGCACTCAGCAGGGCTGCAGAGTCAATGGATTTTCGGCGACCCTGACAACTCCGGTTCCCAAAAATCGGCTCAAACTGAGATGTCTGCTTTTACGCTCAAAACACTTGTAAAAAGAGGAATATGACCATTAGCTTAAAAAACACGTCTCTTAAATAAGGTAAACAAAGCTGACATTTCCCAGCAAACAGGCATCCAGCATGAAACTGGGCCATACAGTGTCAACTCTGACCCCAGCCCACAGAACTGTCGAGTCCGACTGACTCTGACTCCGACTCTGTAGCCCTGATATTTACCTATAGTGTTGCACTTAGTTGCTGTAAAATCCAGCCATTTTCAGTCTATCCAAAATTTTCTCTCTGGGAAAAAGACCAAGACTACGAGAGCCAATTGAAGTGAGAAACTGGCATAAGCCACGAGGTAGGTATAGGTGTATGAACAATATTAATATAGGGAATGCCATTTATGCCAGATGAGCGAGCGACGCGAGACAAGTGTTTTGTAGAGATAGCAGAAATTTCAGAGTGTGAGTATGTATGTATAATAACTGCCCATTATACCTATAGACATTCATGAAAAAAAAACTGCAGGGGGTGTTCAAACACCCTCAGCACTCCAGTAGGGCATGGGTTAAGAACGGCTGGGCCAGCTTGGCTCAAACTGAGCACACAACCAGGCACCGAGGACTGGTTAGGACCCGATTTTTTTTTCGGCGCAGGGCGGCCGCGGATTTTCTTTTTTTGGCGAAAGACTGTTTCACCGGTGATAGCAGCACGCTGCTATTCCATTTCGCGAGCTGACGTCACACTTCTGGTAGTGTTGGAGGAATAGGCATGTTGACGTCTCCATGGAAACCCAATTTGACACGTGTAATAGCAGCGTGCTGCTATCACCGGTGAAACAGGGCCCTGTTCACCGAATTTAGTCAGCATGCTGGTCAATCTAGCAGAAGATTCGCCCTGCCTGCGGCTCTGGAGAGGTTTCGGGACGAGAAGTCTCCGCTCCGGTCGTTGCGTGCTCGAACTGGCGAGCCGCCCCGAGTCTATGTACTCAGCGGAGGAGCGGCCGCCCAAGTGAGGCCTCAACCCTCGGCGTGGAGATAGGTGTGGAAGGCCTTGTTGAACATCGCCGATACTTACTTACTTACTTACTTACTTACTTACGAAGTACAGAATTTGGATAGGCCAGACTAGGCCTTTAGAAACCTTTCTAGTCGAGCTCCTCGTGCGTCTGACTATTCATCTGCGTGAGGGATGTCGTGTGCATGGTGTGCCCAGTGAGTGTCAAGCCGGTTTTTGAATTGGTTCAGGGTGTCGGATGCGACGACCACTGACGGTAGGCTGTTCCAGTCGTTGATGACCCGGATGGAGAACGCGTTGCGCCGAATCCTGGAGACCGCTCGCGGCTTGGCTAGTCTCCATTGGTGTCCTCTTGTAGCAGGAGTTCTGTCGGCTGCCATCTCGAAGAAGTTGCGAGGGTCCATGTCCAGTCCACCGCGGAGCAGCTGATAAACCGCGATCATATCTCCACGCCTCCGTCTGTAGTACAGCGTTGGTAGCTGCAGCACTTTCAGACGCTCTCGATACGGGAGGTGTCGAAGATCGGGAACCAGCTTGGTCGCCCGCCTCTGCACCCGCTCTACCAGTCGCTGGTCCGCCCGGTTGAAGGGACCCCACACTAGGTTCCCGTACTCAAGGTGGGGTCGGACAAGGGCCTTGAGGAGCAGGGGGAGGGTTGATTTGTCAAGCAGGTGGAAGGACCGACGAATCACTGCCATCACTTGTGTTGCCTTCCTTACGGCCGCAGCAGCCTGCTTCCGGAATTTGAGCTGGGTATCCATGAGGACGCCAAGGTCTCTCTCGACATCCGACTCCGCGACTGTAGTTCCCCCCATCCGGTATGTGTGGTGCTGGTTGCCTCCGCCGATGTGGAGCACCTTGCACTTTCCAGGGTTGAATGCCAGCTGCCACCTGTCTGTATTGTATTGTATTGTATTGTATTTACGATCATGGGCGATCCACACATGGCGTGGCGATTACTGCCCAGAGTCTGTGTCGGG